CAAATCTCGTTGTTATGTCATTGCGTTACTGGCCGTCTTAGAATTTCCAATTATACTGATGCAAATGTAGCTGTCATTAGGTCATTGCGTTACTGGCTTTAATTTATTATGGTCGGTAATAATATATACCATTCGACAAACTAAGTGGCTTCAAGAAATGCTCGTATGTATAGACGAACGAAATTACGAATTCCACTTAAATATCAGAATCACAATGATATAGCAATTGTCCATTTTTTCATAATCTTTTTTTAAGTATTGATTGTTTACTGTGCAGGAACACCAGCTTTAGTTTTAGTTTCTTTGGTCTAGGAAATTTAATAGAATAAACCATTGAACTTTTTTTTGCAATAGGTAAATAAAATAAAATGTTTCGTTGACAACTTTTCAAAGGTTTCTCCCAAAGATAAGATTGTGATGGAAAAATCCCTTTGTTATTCAAATTCTAACTAAACATATGGAAGTAAAAGATGATCGTCTAATTTTGTTTACTGCAGTTTTGAATAATTAATTCTAAGGATAACGGCCGCCTGATAGTATCAACGAACTTGGGGGATTGATTAACAACAAACTGAACTGTTAAATCTTGAAGAATGAAAAATGATAATATATCTGAGTTTAATTAAGATTATGCTGAATGGAGATGTGCAATATATATCATAGCCACAGTAATTATTTATTGTAGCTACAAACTGATGACTGGGTTGAATTTTACCTTGTGTTCTTTGAAATTTTTACATGTTCAACTTTTTTATAATTATTTTCTATGGCATCATGTAGGTATCTGACTATTTTAATCCTGGTCTTATAGACTTAATTATTTTAGCCCAAATAAGTAAATTTAAAAAAGCGTTAGGGATGTAAAAACTACCCAAAGTGAATTTAAAATGAGACAACCTCTACGTCTATTACTTACGCAGCTTTAAACATCTGTGTGGGCTTTTTTATCAACTGATTTAAGATTAGATTGAGTTTTGCGTTGGAAAATCTGGCGACGTTATCTAAGCATGCATTCCTCAATAGAAGGCCGGGAGACAATCGCATGATATTTTTAGCAGTAAACAGAAGTCCACTTTTATGATATACGGTGGATGTATTTTTTTGTTTCAATAACCAAAGAATTTTCGTTTTGCAATTGTATATTTAAATGGTTTTGTAATTGGTTGTTAACAGGAAAAGTTCCTCTAAGAGAACCTCTTGACTATACCTTTAGACCACTACTCTCGTCAATCGTTATTTCCAAGTATTCCTTGCCCCTCCCTCGCCCTCTATCAATAAAATTATAGCTATTCAGCCAAACAATTCACGGTTTTTTAGTGTCCAATTTTCCCTCGGAAAGTTCTGATTAAAATTCTCAAGTCTCGGCTGCTTATGCTCATGGCAAAGCTTCTCTCTTTTTCTTTGTGTCTTTGTAGTATGTCCGCGCGTCCTCTCATGACTGAGATGGCCCCGTTTTGCAGATAACACCGTGGCATTCTGGGAAAGATTCAAAATTAACTTATATTTCTAATGAGTAAGGAGTAAAGAACAACTCGGAGAGCCTTGACATCAGTCAAACTAGGAGCAAAATAACCAGCTGAGACAAACAATTCCCTCTAAAGTTTCTCATTCACTTCCTTGCGTTCAGCTGAACACAGAGATACGCGCATGCGTGCACTTCAATAAATTTTAGTCAATTTTTAACAACTTAAAATTGTCAACAAGCCTGATTTCTATATGAAATGTCCTATTAAGCTAATCAAAATTGAGAAAGTTGAGCAAACAATAATAACTGAATTCTGCGTCAAGTTCTTCGGTAGGAGAGGAAGTGCAACAAAATATGTGAATATTTCAGTGGCATCTTCCACGGCCTCCCAAAGTCTTCATGCAAATAAAAAAGGGAAATTGACGATTCTCAATCGACTTTTTCTTAATTTATTTTTCGGGTACTTTTAACTTAGTGATTTTAAATTTTATTAAAATTTCGCGGGTACTTAATTTTGCGATTTTGGGGAGACGATATTTAACGGGGTTTTATTTTCGCGATTTCAAAAGGCAAATATCAAAAAGGGGCATTAAATTTCAAGACTCAGACGTTCTCAGTTTCATTTCGATTTTCAACCTGTCACCTTTTGACGGCCGCACGAGATATATCCTAAGGAATTTTTACGAATTAAGAGAGCGATAAAGATGAAGATGTGAGGTAGATTCTCAGCACCATATGGGAAATCCTTGCAAATGAACTTCATTTCGCAACAGAAGATAAAAAATAGAAGTTACCAGTACATAAGACCGGTTAATGATTTAACTATTTGTTAACACATATCCTCTAGATTTTGTTGTTATTAAATGTTGATAACTTTTTTCAGTGATTTGAATTTTATATAGGGAAATAATTAAATTGCGCGCGTTTAGATTCCGCGTGCGTTTTTATGTGCAGATCTTCAATTGTAACAAATGGTGCTCGGGTGCTTATTTTCTTCAATATAGATTTAGATAATGTAGCCTAATAACAAGTTTCAGCAAATTTACTGGGACAACAGGACTAATAAACAGGCGGTTAAGATACAGACGAGCGCGTGAATACACAGAGGCACAAAAGAATTATATATAACATTGTTAACATGCTTTTTGATTGTGTTATCTTTGAATTCGCTCTCGTTAAGGTTAAAACGTTTTTGTCGTCATTAGGGTCATTTAGTTCGTTCCTTTTTTTTTCTCGTCAACTTTATTTATTTATTTATTCATTTAATCTTTATTTATACACAGTAAAAAAAATTCATCAGGTACAAAAAAATTCCATTACAATGACTAATGTCCTAAGAACCTAAAAATACTTATCCTAACATTATATTAACTTACAACAATGTGCCACTTAAAAACCTGATTTCCGAGGATGCTGTGTTTAAAAATTATGATAAAGAAGGTGTTTAAATTGGTTTAATGAAACAGCTCTTTAATGTTACAGGGAAAGCTATTTTAAAGGGTTGCGCCGCTATAACTAAAACTGTTTTTCACGTTGTTAGTTCTTGGAAAGAGGACAACAAGTTTGTTTACCAAGCCTATTTTTAATATAATATTACTGTTTCTTTCATATAACTTACAATAATATTAAAGGTTAGTCTTGCATGTTAACAGTGCTTAACTTAAGACATCGAGTCTTGCAATCGATTTTCGGTTTCAAAGTTAAAGGTATAAATGTTTTTATTTACAAAGTACGACGAAGGATTGGCGGGTTTTAAAACTTCCTTTCCAAAATAAGAATGAGACATTTGAAATGTTAACTATTAAACAAAGAGGAAATGACCAGAGGTACTAGAGGCTGACTTTATTTTGTCCTCCTCCTCTATTGATTTACGTTATTATTTTGCCATAACTAGTGCGAACACTATTTTTTTTCTCCTCAATTCAGCTTTGTTAAACACATTGAAAAATTCTTCTTCAGAGGCTACCTGAGATAAAAATATGTCGAGCCTCCACTTGAGCAACTTACGTATAACCACACCAGCTTGAAACATCTGTTAAGGTTTTATTGATGTATACGTGAATAAAATATTTGTTGTGTTGGTAAATGCGACTGCAGCATAAAAACACTCAAGCGGAGAAAGGAAAGAAACACTATTCAGGTAATCTTGTAGCTTTTTTATGTTATAACTGTTGATGAAATTAATTTAAGTAGAGTCTTATGCTACACTGCCGGAGAAAAATGAAAGGGAAAAAAAAACGAGGATAAGAGAACATAACGCTTTGTGTCGTTATGTGAGCAACTGACTTCTTAATAAAATTGTGACGACGATGAATTTTCATTTCATTTGCCGACGCAACTTTTCACAAAGAACACTGTATGGAATACTAGTAGAGTTGGGATAGGTGTGCCACAATGATAAAACAGCAGTCAATGGAAATATGCCGGATGTTGCTAAAAGGTCGAAGCCGATGATGATACTGAATCGCAAAGTATAAAACGTATGGATATGCTGAGGTGCCGAGTAGAGGCTTACAGATAAGATAGCTTTGAATTTATTGTTATCCTCATTCGCTTTTCTTTGTAGGAAAGATGTCTAACATGTGGACTTTCACTTTTGTTTTGGGTAAGTCGGTTGCGCCTGTTTAAGACGTGTGGTTTTCACGAGCGAGCGTGAGACACCCTTGAGTAGTTTTGGTTGTGAGAAAATTTGTAAGAACATTTTAACGCAAAGATTATTGTCATCTGCCGAGGGTAAGCTTGGATCAATTCTATCGGTAGAATGGTTAAAATTAAGCAGTGTTCGAGGTAAGTATTCTGTCAGCACGTTCACGTAAAAAATATGGGCAAAACTAAGGGAAATCAGTAACATTATTTATACGCAGAACAGTTGTAGGAAAGTTCAGTGAAATTCATTGACTCTAAATACAAATATTTTGTTGTTATACCTTGATAATTTCTCGTTTTTTTTTACAGTGTTAATGCCTTTTAGCAGCTCCTCCATTTTGATTATTACGACTCAGCAAAGAAATGTTATTGTGCTAAGTTTGAGGAATCTGTATACTCCATAAATTAGCTATAATTAGCGCTACATGTTGGGCCAAGGTTATCATCCACATTTGTGAAAATATGTACTAACTGAAGGAACGATCTTTTTAGGCCATCGAGGGTAATTAAAAGCGTAATTTAAGAGACTTGGTAAAAATTTCAAGCAAACTATACAATTTTACCGATGAGCATTGCAGTCTGGCAGTTTTTAGACTATCATGCGAACGGAAGCTATCCAAGCCTAACCAAGGGCTATTCATAACAGTTCTTGACTAGAACATCGTTATTTACGTAAAGTTTATGTGTGAAATCCATGCTTACCACATAGATGACTGACGGAACATTTGACTCTTGTGGCACAGCATGAATCAGTTGTTTATTATTGACGTAGGAGTTTTGAGTTTACATTATCGTTTACGCACACGATAACGGAGGCTTAGAAAAACGAGATAGAAGTCATTAATTAACTAACTGTGCAAATTACGTATACTTATTCCTCTGTGAAATTATGATCTTTGTTACAGTTGCAATAATCGCGGAAGTATACTCCCGATACATCCCAGACTTTAATACAACCTACCGTCCTCAAGTAGAAAAAGGGCAATATGTGGAAATAGAATTGGGGCTATGGATGGACCCTGACTCACCTAGAGCACCTTGTGCTGATGAGGAATATCTTGAGATCCGTGATGGGTATAATCAGTCTGGAAATCTTTTGGGTGTATTTTGTGGAAGATACGTTCCTCGCATTAAACTACGTTCCAGTGGAAAGAACATGTGGTTGAGATTTTCATCTCACCATGGATACGTGCTAACGTACAATACCTATGAGGGAAAAGTACTAAATGTAACAGGTAAATATTTGTTAGGTTTAGATGTTATTATTTTCTCATTGGTTCAGTTTATTCATGTCTTATTGTGTTTTTCCTTAGTTCCTACTCACCTAGAAAAGGTCGCAAAAACTCAGTTTGTCCTGCTCAATCATTCATCATCTCTGTGGTGCCCGGCGGAAGGTGGACCAGCTCCTCGCATTGTTTGGAGAAAGAATGGCGCTGTTGTGCAAAACAGCACTAGCGTGCGACTTCAAATCAACGTCACTGAAGAAGAAAGAAATACAAATTACAGCTGCGAAGTGGACGACCATGGCCTGTTGAAGAGGAAAAACATCAGTCTTATTGTTGAGAGTAAGTCTCAAGTTACATCTTTACTTCAAGGGGATCTCAGTTGTTGCGTATGCTTTTGGTAAACCTTTCTCTTTGTCTTGTGTAGATTTTAGGAATTTTTGGTTTTAGAATAAAACCTTCTACAATTTTATTCAAGGGTAACCTAAAAAGTCACATTTAATAAGTAAAACACAAAATATCTAAGTTTCTTTTTTTTTTTAATTATTAAAAGGTTAGTTTTCATTCTTTTGCTGTTAGAAAATTATTAATTGACTCGATTGACCGCTGCCTAAGAAAAAGCGCCACATGTAAGAGCAAGGATATCGAAAAGCGCTGCATCTAAGAGAGTGACGTTCATTCAATCCACTATACTCTGTTTAGTAGCCACTGTTTTGTCTTTCAACAAACAACGTTGATTTTCTTGTCTAAGGTACCAGTCTGTCTCAAATAGATTACGCTCTCCTTGCTCTAAGCAGATTATTTATTGAATACATTCTGGTGCAGTGTTTTTCTTATAAACATTGTGAAAGAAGTCTTGAGAAAACGAAGTTGTAGCAGCCGTTGTATCTAACTTAGCAGCCATAGAAGGAATAGAAGGGGACTCGCGTTTGAAATTGTACTGGAAGTCAGATATGCAATCTGTTACCATTATGAAGGGGGGTAAACCAATTAGGAGGAACTCCATAGTGCGGCTTTGTCCAAGAAATTTATCATGTCTTGATCTTTCTCCTCGTTAGAGAGAGAATCAAACCAGGTCTCAAACAACATATTCCTCATAATTTTGTTACTGTTTGGTTTTCATCGATTTCTGACCATTATTAATTGATTTATATAAATTAGAAAAAGGAAAAAAAATTGAATTGTTGTATAAATTTTTTTTTTTCATCCGTTGATCACACTGAGAAACTAATCCAAATAACATTGAAAATGGGGAACTGATTTTCCCTTTCTCACATGACGAAGCGTTTTGAAAATAATACTGTCTGCAATCGATCTGTATTTGACGATTTTCGCTGTGATGCCATTAAAAACTGTACTGTTCAAACTATTGAATACTCGCAAAATCGTTCAGAATGGATAAAGACACAACTAGCAAAAGTGGCAAGGCGGCGTCAGTGCGGGTTTTCCCGTGAGCTCAAATGTAGCTACCAGAAAGTGATGCAAACACCTGCTGTCAATTTTCATTTAAAAAGTGATTAGTGGACGATACCCATTGCTAGCCTGAAGGTATTTTCCATTATTTCGACCACGCAAGAGGCAATGCACGCTAGAAAATTTGTGTATAGAAAAGTGAGAGCCGTTTTTCGGTCAGCATAGCCAGGAAACAGAGGATTAGTAGGTCAGTCTATTTGGATCTCTTTGAAAGTGAGAATTAAAAGTAGGTTCGGTTTGTTTGAATCTATGTAGTAAACATCAACGGCAAAATTTACAACAGATCAATGTTATCTTTCAACAGATCAAACGCAAAATACCAAAGAACAACAGATCCCAATAATTAAGTATTTTAGATCATTTTCATACCTGGCGAATAAAATCCTGCATTAACGGCTGAATATTGATTACAAATGAGATCTGAAATATGTCATCTATTTCGATAAGGGAGCATATTAATTTTGGATGATTTTGAACAATTCTTAGCTAAACAGATGTTACACTTTGTAACATGCCATCATCGATTTCATACAATAGCTTTCAGTTGATAATATCTTTGAATAGAAGGGAGCTATTGAAAACAGATATGATTCAATCAAATTTTAATGGAAGCCTGTTTTTGTTTGTCAGAGTGCCCTCAACAGTGCCAATGCAAAGTCCTTAAAGGTATCATGAGGAGCTTAGTATCGGCCGATTGTGGAACGAAACAGCTTAAGTCAATTCCACAGAAAATTCCCCGAGCAACAGGAAAACTGTAAGTACCTAATGCACCATATAAGTTTAGGTAACGACATGATTTCGAGTGCTATTTGGTGTTAATAAGCACCAATAAATTTTCAAAGACAACAAAATTGCACGAGTCCGTAGGGCGAGTACAATGTGTAGTCTTTGACAGATTTATATGTGTGCTTAGTTGCACCAAATTGCACTCGAAATCATGTCGTTACCCGTTAGTCTTGTTTATGATTTCCATATGAAAAACTGACCACAGAAAGTCAAGAAGGACGAAATTTTGGCAGCGCACGCGCTATTTAGAATTTACATGAAAAATGCAATCGTTTTCAGCCAATCAGACGCGCGTAATTTTTTCATGTATACAATTAAGCCTCAAATTTGGCTTTGGAAGTAGCAGAATTATTCCCTAAAGTACGAGAGGTTATGCTAAAGACAAAATCATTGTAAGGTCGTCTGTAGTTTTATAAGAAATTTCATAAGAAATAAGAAGAATTACATTCCATAACTGTTGAACCAGATACGTCGGGAGATTCCCTTTCTATCTTCAGTCAGATTGTCGAAAAGAAAGAAGAGCCAACCGATTTACCTAGCATATCTAAAAGTTGTTAGATTTTTATACTTCTGTCACTAATTAGAATGTAAAAAAACCAATGAATGCATATTCAATGCATTTGAAAATTTTACATAGGTTGATTTTCAGTCAGATTTATACAGGAGTTTGAGATATTGACTTTGTTTTACTTTTGATCACGAATTTCTTTGCCGGTTTTTTTTTTTGGACACTCATTCGGTAAAGACAGATGATGGTTTTATTCGGCTAGCTGCTGATTATCCTTTTATAATTTGAGTTGAAACTGACTTTCTTTTTGGCTTCAGCACGCTCTCAAACAACAAACTGAAGCACTTGCCGAAGGACGTTTTCAGCAGAAATTCTGATTTGCTAAAATTGTAAGTCATGTTGACTTTGTCAACTTCATTTGTATTTTGATGTATTGAAGATTAACGGATAGAAAATAATGTTTCATTCAGTGAAGTTTTTTGGGTGCGTTTCGCAAATCAAAATGCATAAATTAAATTCAGCTAATTTGCGAAATTCATGCACTTTGATTTGCAAAATTCACTTTAAAAAGTAAGATATCCGCTATTCTATGCTAAGATCCACGCATTGAGCTTGATCATGGCAATAGTAAGTTAGACCTTACAGCCCACATGCAGCTGTTTAGTAGGTGAAAGGAGAACAAAAACAACAACAACAGCAACTACAACCTGACAAAGAAAACCCGTTGAATCTAGTAACGAAATTGGTATTCCACGAGCGCCAAAGGTATGATTTTGTTAGGAGCTGTGAAAAAAAAAACTAATGCCTAGACTTTCTAAGGGCATCGTCGTCCAAAAACTAGGTGGCCAAATGTGAACATTTCTCCTGGATATAAACGAAGTATTTCCAGAGATAACCTTTAAGTGATATGTAATTTCTGAGTGATGAATAAACTTTGATAAACTGCATCCGCTGTAAGATTCCAAAGGCACTAGAAGGCAACAGTGAATAAACCACTTAGGAACGGTTGGATACAAGCTAAGCGCATTGACATTATTGTTGATTTGCTGTTAATGAACAGTCTAAGGCAACCGTTTGCAAACATTGCCCATGAACAGTTAAAGACCATCGCTATAATACTGCTGATGAATGCTTCACGATGGTTGCCACAAAACCACTGTCGCTTGAAAAACAGCTTCTACCGCCGCTCAGGAATGCCCTTAGCTTTAGGTAACTGCCTCATCACCGCTAAAGGAACCTACTTATACGGCGACGAGACAGCTAAGAAAAAATGGAGATATTCTCTAGTAAAACGTTAATGAACACTTGAAATAGACCGCAACAGAAGCGCTCAGAACTGCAGCGAGCGACTGCTGTCAAACTGTTGTAGAACCCTAACGTGACACTTTTTAGTAGGTTGCAATACTTCCCGTGAGTCTGCACTTGCCGCCGACCAGAATCCTCTAAGGTCGTCATGATTATATTGGATTTTCACTAACTAGATTATGACGAAGAAAACGATTAAGCTTTGAGAAGAAGTAGAGTTTTTGAGAACGGAATCTTGTTAAAATAAATATCGATAAAGTTTGCAGATGGTATTTATGGTTATATTATTGTTGAATGCTATAGAGATAGACCAATTGACTAAATTTGATTTAGAATTGGATATGTATTTGTGTTTCAATTTTTCTGTTTGCTAGATTTTGTTTTCTTTAACCCTCTTTGTAACCGTCATTCAGTAACAAGTTAATCATCGTGGCCCTCAGGGGAATGGGGAAAGGGCGTGGATGCCTTCATCGCACCCTCCCCCCCCGGTCCTGTCCATACACGTCTACACTGACCCTGAAGATCAAATGAAACGCTCTTTATATTGGACCCAGTTTAAGCCTTCGGAGCTAACCTCTATATTCATAGGAAAGAAGTCACTTAAAGCTGTTACACAAAGTGAGACAGAATTACTTCTGAGCGCAGCATTGAAATTACTATAAGAATATGAACACTTGCTTCTGATCCTTGCTGTGGAGGAAAAATTGATGTTACATGTATTTACTATCCTCTAAGAGATTCAAAAACATTGCGGGTGTTTCCGTGTGCATCATTATCATTGCATATTAATTATTGTTGCTGGTTCTGGTAAACAGCAAAAGCCTTGGTCAAATTAAGCTCTGGTATTTTCGGAAATTATCTTAAGTTATATAATTAATCATTTCAAGTGTGCACACTCCCTTTAATCGAGGCCAAGTGAAAGAAAATCGTTTTTGGTCAGCTTATTACGAAAACCCTTTTAATGGCTCGCTGTACAAGAGCAAAAAAATCATGACCGTTACGGAGGCTTTTGAACAATTTTCCTAATTTTCATAAACCCAAGGTTTAATGAAGTCGAATAGTTTCTTTCCATGCCGCAGGAGTTCACCATTTAACTTTCCGGTATTTTAAAAACAGTCGTAACTTTAACTGTATGTGTTTCCTACTTGAAAGCGAGTTTGGTGATCATACCTTTTTTTCATGTTAAATTGCAATCAGCATATAAAGAGATAGGTTTTGCTGAGAGTTTGAGAACAAAAAAGCATGTGAGGTAGTCTCAGTGCCCCCTTAGCTTTTCGGTAATTTAAGGTGGGTCCAAATTTATTCCTCTATTCCTCTCCTTTAAATATTGGGTTCACCGCACTCGTTTTTGAGTGATAGACACGGAAAGCTAAAACTGGGTGACACTGTATTAGACTGTAGTGTTGCTATAGTAATTTTTTGAGCCAAAAAAACTATTTAAAACCTGTTAAGCAATAATTTTCCACAGATATTCCTCACAGATGTGGAATTGGCCGAAAATTTCAAACTAAATTGTTGGAGGAAGTGTACTGATCTATTAGTTGATAAAAGTTATCTTGATTAAATGATCACTGCTCCATCGGAAAGGTAAATGGCATAAGGATAATCCTGATAAATCTACATTTCCGTAGATCAGCCATTATGAAATCGGAAAATGTTTTAAAGTTAAAGGAAAAACTCATAGCAAGTTCATTTTTGCGTGAGGCTCAAATTAAAAAGCACCATACGGACAGTGCAAGTCCTTAATTTTTTTGTAATCTATGTAATTCTAGTTAACAGTGGAGTAAATAAAGTAATCAGGTAATTTGGTATTATTAACCGATTTGTTAACGTGAATTGGGCATCGTAATTAGTTTCAAAGCCGCGGTTTCAAGCGTTAGCCCTTCGTCAGAGAAAATCGCCAATTTACGTTATCAAATCAGTTGATAGTTCCAAATTATCCTATTATACTCTTCCACGTAGCACCAGAGTTTCTTTAGAAACTTACTCCCTTTATAAATAGATGATTGATTTGTTAATTTGTTCCTAGGGACCTGTCCAAGAACGAGTTGCAGAAGTTGCCAGCAGGGGCCTTTAGTAACAACACAAGGCTAGAATATCTGTAAGGAGGACGTTTCTTTAGCTTACGAACATTCATTAATGATTTTTTGACCATGCGCCGATGTATAGAGACATGATATGGGCTTTCGCATCAGACTGAGTTGGAATCTAAACATCCTGTCAAAAAATATAAAATAACACAATATTTCTTAAATTGGCAACTTGTCTTTTGCAACTTAGTCCACTTATATTACATATTTATCTGGAGTCTCCGGTAAGAGACTTATCTTCATGCTTGGGGGACATAAGTGTACCACTGCAACTAGATAACAAAACGTCGTTTATCATGGTTAGATCTAGTTATGAAATTAATTCAAACAATACAATTCGATGATGCTCACTTTGAGTCGCCAATTCCTTCAACATAACGACATAACTGGTAAATAATCTTCCCTGTTCAACCGCCTTTAACCCAGTGCGTCGATAATAATATTTCATATTCCTAGGGCGGTGTGATTTTACCAAGGAATGTTTTTGCTTTAAAACATGCGTTATCCATTAGGATCATGGCGTGCCTGTGACATAACAGTTTGGATTCCGGTTACAAGCTTTTATTTTGGTTTTGGAAACTTTTTTAGTTCTATATTAGACAGCTTATTCATGCGTTGAGCACTGTCATCGAACTTTCCCCGCAAAAGCTGTCAACTTTACGAATATCCTTTAGTTTCAAAGCTTAAAATTAAACAGAGCTCTGGAGATGGTCCAAGTGGTAGTCTCGGGGTGGGATTTATTTGAAACGTTAACGTCTCTAGGACAACCTCGGCCGAATTGAATTGAAGGAACATGGTTTATCTATACTCCTTCTTATAAAAAAACGTTACAAAGTCAAATTTCCGCTCTCTCAATGGCAAGCACGTCAGCGAACCAATCATGTTTCCTGGGAATAGCTTGTAGTAGATTTTAGTCATTCGATTTTTTCTAGATTAAAATCTATTTTTCTTATCTTGATTTTACTTATCAAATGGATGACGCATGAAGGAGAGTTAAAAAAGTTCATTCTTCGCACCGCCGTCCAATGGGCAAAATAAGTTTTTCGATCCACTCTGCGCTTGAAAAACACACTCCTTCGCGCAGGTGACGCTCGAGCTTAGCTTCAAAATAACCTCTTAGTTCGGCTTCATCAACATTCAAAATTCAAACGCTTTTTTCAATGAGCCAAATGTTTTTCGACCCATTCCTCGTCTTTTTATAATCACGCTCTTTCAAACTGTTTACGCATGCGCCAAGCGATAAACTCTTTCTGCGACTTTATCGACATTTTTGACCCTTTCAGCATCTTTACAATCACACCTTATTTGTGCAGTTTTCTCTCGAATTGCCCATGAAATTCTTTCTGTGACCTCTTTCAGCCCAAAACGGCTTAGTAAACAATCAAAATCACAAACATTCGCGCTCTGGTTGCGAGAACCAAACAGTTACCTCTTTACAACTTCATAACCATTCCATATTCAAAAACTTCCGCGCCATTTTCGATTGACCCGAAGTAATGTTTCAATCCTTTTCGCGTCCTTTTGAAAATGACACTTAATGCACTGACGTTTCGCAAGCTATACGAGAAACCCTCTTTGACATTATCAACATTCAAAGTTAAAAAACATGGCAAGCCCAAACATTTTCCGACTCATTCCTCGCCTTTTTGAGAATCACACTTTTTGCGCTTTTGCCTCCTGTACAAGAGATTATATTTTTTTTGTTCCCGTACCAGCCGTAAAACTACCTCTGCTGCCTGCGTTGTAGGTCTTTTTTTTCTCTTTTTTTTTCAACTTAAGGTAGACGAAAAAGAAAGTTGTCTTAACAACCTAAATTGCGAAAACAGCGCGACGCTTTTGCAGCGGTAATCAATCACCTCTCTCTTCCCCGACCGCGTCGCTTTGGTCTTTCAATCTCTGACAAATTTCATGATGGATGGATGTCATTCAATGGAAAATTAGTGCTCGTGGCTCAAATGAAAATTCAGTTAGTGTTTAGTGTGTTAATAAATCTATGCTGAGAGTTCTGAAAGAATTTCAGATTACATTCATGTGCTAATATCAACGTTACTCTTCATTGTTTCGACTGAAAGATTCTCTCTGGTCACTTTTCGTTTCAATAAACTATTCGGTCTTATCACCAGCAAGATTAAAGGAATATAACAACAGGTGATTTAAAATGAGTCCTCCATCTTTCAATATGCGAATTTTAATCATCGACAAGCAATTAATCTGATCAAAGTTTTCGCCATCTTTTAAAATTTGTGTCACTGCTTAGAAAACCAGATGGTGTGCCTTGAAATGTCGGTAAATTAATTGAACGATGTTATTTTGCATCAGAATCTATCAAGGATAGAGTAACTTGATCTAATTATCCACTAATGCGAGGTAAATGCAAACGTTATTATCATTTTGAAAAAGCATCGGGTGCGTTTAAGATGTAGGAAAACACACGTCGCAGACAGCAGAGTTCACGCTTCTTTGAAATGACTTATTTATTCCAGAAACTTGTCCAATAACCGGTTACAGCATTTAACGCGAGGAGTGTTCGCTGGCATCAAGATTCCCTACGAGGGGCTGTTGACGCTGTAAGTAAGACTCCTATATTGCAAATCAACGTTGATGAAAAGCAAAACAAATAATCGGAAATCAATAAATTGAAATTGAATTTGGTTAACTATGGAGCCAAACATCCAGTAGCTCGAGCCACCACTTTCAAACCGTCTTGATCAGTAGAAAACATTTAGCCCAGGGGTTCCTTAAAGTAACCGTTGAAATTTGTGTCCAGAGGGGTTGAAAGGATGCAGCTTTTTTTAAGATGATTTCAAATATTTCGTTAAGTTTATCAATAAGCGAGTTCGATTCAATTTAATAAATGAAACCGAATAACTAATGAATCTATTATGATCACGAGCGACGTTAATCCTAAAGAGACATTTCAAATCGGTAAACAGCTTCAGCACATAAAGTTTATTTTAACAATCTGTTTATTACTTCTTCAAATTAGATTTTCATTCCAGCCAAGTAATCGAAATATTATGTGTCTTATGGTTTTGAAATCATTATCTCTACTCGGATTTGCAGATAGTATCAACCTCAGAAAATGCTGAATAAACCATGCTATTCGGCCTTAGAATAAAGGAATATTAGTAAGGCCAAGTTAACTTTTCAATAAGATATATCCGATAATGTTAAAAATAGTTGCACATTATTTAAATCGTACCGAGAGTTTTTTTAATTATATACTTTGTCATGCACCATGCAGATATTCCTTTAAATCTGATTTATAATTCATATAAATTACAACGGACTGACTCAACATTATTCTTTAACACGAGGTTGCTTTTGAGAAAGAGCCATCGTGACTTATTTTCGGTCGCTTCGAACACTTTTTTTTTGTTTGTTTTTTTTTAAATACGTGAATCAACCAGCACGTTGTATCAAGGGTATCAAGGTTCTTTCAAACCGATAGAAATTTTTTGCAAAATGACGCGTACTAACGATTCCAATCGACAGAACATGTTGCTAGTGGAGCTTTTTATCGAAACTTTACAAAAGAAAAACTGTCCGAATCAGCTGTTGTGATATATTAATTTTAAAACTAAGCACGAAACCATCTTTTTACAGTGTCAGCTACTGTTACATCGATTGCTCAACTCTAGTTCGTTCATCAGCATGTTTGAAGGGTATCTTTGGAATATTTCCCCATCTTTGATTTTGGCTTGGTTCTCTTAACAAAAATAGAGAGCTAAAATGTTTTCTTCTTTGTGCATTGTTTACGGTGTCGAAGTTTATTCTGCTCTGGCCCTTTCCTGTACTGCGAAATTACGGCTTGATTGTAAACACAAGAAACTTCTTTAGTTGCGTTGATTAGTTGGGCTGTAGTACCGTCGCATTGCATTAAATGGTATGTAAGTTTTTCTACCCAAAACGTTCCTTCCTGAATTGAAAGGACACTCTAAGGCACTCGGTAGTAAGTGGAATCTATATGTGAGCAACACAGTTTATTCAGTGCAGAGGATTTGACATTGTTTTGAGAAAAAAAAGTCAATAATCGTCTTGGCCTTGTACCACTACTCGATTTGAAGATGGCAGGAAGCGATTGTCTCGGAGTATTGCTCCTCCTTGGTGGATAGCATTCATACATGAGCGAAGCAACACTCAGCCCTGGAATATCTTATTAACAAAGCTACTCCTTAACATTGATGAGACTGGGGTATTTTAAAGATGATAATGAGAATAATAATAATAATAATAATAATAATAATAATAATAACAATCATAGTAATAAGTCTAGATGTGCAAATTCCATGAAATTTTCAAAAGCGCATCACAAGAGTTAAAATATTACAATCAACTAAAGCTATGAAGTGAAGGGAATGTGAATGAAAGGTTACCACAACGACTAAATCATAGTTAAAAGAGAAATTTGAACTATAATAAAACGCTCTGATTAAAAATGCCCATTAAAAAAGATGCGATTTCGAAATTAGTTTTTCACTCCCCATATTCAGAGGAAGTGCATTCAAGTATTTTATAAAAACAAGTTCATCCAGGCTAGCTTCAGACTTAAAACAGGTATGACTAAGAACGGGTCTGTAACTGGAAATTCCGAGATCATAATTTGGTAAGAATGAGCTAAAAAGTTCTCATTTAACGAATCATAAAAGTAATTCGAAGTATTTTAAACTCCATTCTTTTTCTTATCAGTAGCCAATGTAATGAAAAACTGAGCGACGTTATATGACAAAATTTTTGTTCTCTGAAGATCAGTCTAGCCCAAGCATTCTTTATCCGCTGAAGTTTAGGTCCTAATAATGAGGTATTTCGGTCTTATTTTAGTTTAGAAATGAAAAGCTGATATATTTGTGACGTTCAACATCCATGAATGGATGTCCCTTGATGTTCGAGTCAACAACACGAGCACTGTTCGATTCGGTCTTATTGTTGTTCAGTTTAGGATTCGTTCAACATCGCAGTGTTCGATACTTTTCATCGTAAGAAATGCGTTCATATCAAATGATCGCAGCTTTCTAAACGCGTTTAATAAAACATGGTTAACTTTAAGGGTGGTCGAGTTGTTTTCAGTCTGAATAGCAGTCTCAGATTAAACGAAAACAGGATTTCAGGCATACATTAACAGCTGCTTAAGTTATCTGAGTTCCGCGTAATTTTCAGATCCAATACATGGCCCAGTCCATGTGTTGATTCCGACACATGTCGCGTTAATGATATCGACTCCAATAAATCAAAAAAAAATGACAGGCCGCTGTGTCATTGCGATCATCAACGCGGATATCGAAATCATCAGTTAAGAAAAGAGGATCATGAGAAAAAATAATAGGTTCCAAAAATCTGAAAACTCCTCAATAAAACTGGTAATTCACGATATATTAGGACAAATCTGAGACGTGAATTTCGAAGATTTGATGGAGACGAGAGAGTCGGAACATTCAAATGACGTTCTTGAACGAATTAGAGTTTGCGAAAAAAGCAGCCTAATCATTTTAAATCTCGTTTTCTTTTTTAAATTTCAAATGACCTCGTTTTCCTGTTCAAATGGCTGAGTGGTATTACCGATCTCAATGTTCATGATTTTGTTTCCTTTTTCATCTCACGGGCGGTGCCTTGCATAGGTCCTTGTGTCCCGTTCGCACCAGTCCCACTGTGTCCCCGAATTTTTTTTGTCTGCTTTTCTCTCTCAATTAATGTTTTTGCTTTATCTTGTATTTTCGATTTTTAAGGTATATTGTATTGTTATACCAATATTATATAAGTCATGCCCCATAAAAATGTTAAAAAAATAAACAGAAGAAGCGTACCCCCACTTTCACGATCACTCTTGGGACAAATAAATATAGCTTGAAGCCAGGAGAAGCTATCGCATTGCAAATTACAGGGTCGTTATCCGATAACAAGGTTTCAGTTTTTACAAATAAGTCGACATTACATTGATAGACGCAAACAGCAAATAATGCAGATTTGTTAGCAATACAGCGAGTATTCAACGTGCACACAGTCAGATGAGTATAGCTGTTGTTGTCTAATGAAGATTGGATACACACTTTATCTGCGCAAGATTGGAATGGTTGTGATGGTTCCGTCGTCTACGTTTCAAAGTAAAACTATTTGTTGTTAAAGTCGCGATAAGTGGACCAGCAACAAGTGTTGCCACAAGTTGCTGAGCGAAGGCGAGTGAGGTTAAAGTGAAGTATGGTGTGTAAGATCTCCGACGAGTAAAGTCAGTATGCCTTCTTGTAGAAGATGAAATTCCAAGATGGTGGGTCGAACTCAACGCTGACTGATAGATTGCATGACGCATATCTCTTCTACCCGAGATCTTTGTGCCTTCATCAATGTTTAGGACACGATATACACAGGAAATGAAATTATCCGATAAAATAGGGAGTAATTTAAACAACAGCGCAGAGCGAGTAGAAAACGGAGGCAGCTTGAGCCGGTGATACAACGACGACTACACGCGACTGCGCAAACTGATCTGTCTCTATATGTTGCATACACACATGCTCCTTTGCCGTCTCTGATTTCGCAGCCTTCGGTGAACGTTCACACATGCTTCTTTGCCACTGGGATCACTGGACTTTTCTCTGGTTTAGCTGTCTCCAAAGTAAAACAAAAAACAAAAAAAAACGAGAATACAGAGAATACAACTGGGGCGTTTCATTTGAAGAACGAGAAGCCTTTTGCCAATGGCTGCAAATCTGCTAAAAACCAGCTGCGATCAGTAAAGATGTTGTTTGGCTCTGAGCTGATTTGCGACACTCTCGTGTGACACTTTCGCGTTAGTCACTATTGCGTTACAACGTCGGGATTGACCTTTGGACCGATCATGGGTGTTTTTATTGTCTTCTCAAACTATTGCTACGTTTTGATAAATAAACCAAGTCGAAGGTTTCATTTTTGCGTAAGCGTTTTTCTTGTATAATTTTTCCGTAAAATCGCCCGTAATGGATGGGAGATGCATTAAGTTTTTCACGCAACACGAGTACCAAGTACGATATAAAAAAATAAATAAAAGTTATCGTTGTAAAAGTCTATCGGTTCAAAACTCAGCAGAACTCCACATTGTTTGCTCATTAGTTTGATGCAAAGTAAACTCCGCTATGTAATTACGCATTCACTGATTTGAATTTAAGATAATAATAGGCACTTTCAAGAAAAGTACCAATTTTCACTACATCTCTAAGTATACGATTTGTTGCGTTGACTTGTTGATTATAGGGACTTGTCCAACAACAAGTTACAAGATCTTCCTCCAAGAGTATTTGCTGGCATTCACGCTTATGACTACGCTAAAATAGGGCTGTGAGTAAGATTGTTCTTCTGTAAATCAAAAACTACTTAAAAGCAAAAGGAAAAGTGAAAAACCAATAAATATAACAGAAGTTATGCAAGGAGCCAACATCCTCTAGGAGTCATCTCTCTATACGTGGCCCTTACTGCCTATAGGATCCCATTACGTTTCTTTTTTCACTAACGGTAACGAAATAGTTTTCCGTCGCACTGTATATACTATCTTTCTTTTCAAAATCAGAAAAAAAAAACACATTATAATGCGCATTTATCTAAGAGTTCATAACAATAACTGTTTAGATGTGTGACCAGAAAGATTTAACAAAGAAAGAAGTCGTGAATCTGCTCTGTTCCTTTGTAAATTAAAGCACGCAGAAAGTGGCTAGAGCACCAAAGAAGTGTGGGGGAAACAAGAGACGTAGTCGAGTGTTTCTGCCTACTTCTTGAGTGATGCGCAAATTCTGTAACATCTTCAAATGCACATAACAATTTAAGAGTTAAAATATCACAAGCAACTAAAGCTATGAAGAGAAGGAAACATAAATAAAAAATTACTACAAAGACTACGCTGCGATCAAAAGAAAAACTTCCACAACAACAAAACCGTATGATAGAAATGCCCGTCTAATAAACAACTGCGTTAGTTATTGTTGCGTTGCAACATTGTGATTGACGTTTGAACTAAATTTCAACTCCACCCAATTAAACGAAACTCGTCCGTCTCATGATTTCGAAATTGTTACTTTTAATAAGATTAGCAGATGTTAAGGCCTTCAGAAAATACCAAGTAAATAATATTATTCAGCCCCAGGATAAGTTTACTTAAGTAAACAGCTTCAGTGCGGCTAAAGCCAAGTTAAATTTTGGAGAGTCAATGAAGGTACATAAAAAAGTCCTAACTTTTAAATCATATCAATATGAAGTCAAACACTATTATTCATTAAGCAGAAAATTATTCTCTGTGTAATAGCTTACACTTTGTTGTTGTAATTGTTGATTATAGGAACTTCTCCAACAACCAATTAAAGATTCTATCTTCAGGAGTTTTTACCGGCCTTAAATTCTTTCGATATGCTTCTCTGAACCTGTAAGTAAGACTGTTATATAATTAACCTTTGATTTTACATTTGTTTAAAGGGACCAAAAGTAGGTCAAGGTCTACAACTTACCCAGTTAAGTGTCGGGATGACATGGGAGGAAGAAAGGGTGTATAGATGCTGGGCTGACTCCTCATCAACCCATGAGGTGTTGCTTACAGGAATGACAGCAAAGTAGCCGGACATGCGTGGTGAAAACCATCAAGCCACGTAGATATGAGTCTGAAAAATTAAAATCTATCACTTCTCTCTGTCATGAAAAGAACCCTTTTTTTTATCGTGTATCCGGTTAAGACGAGGAGCTCATAAAAATTGACTCGTCATTGGGCGTGATTTTCCGGGTAAATGGAAGTTTCGAAAGAAATGATGTCATCTTTTGAGACAAGCGTTTTGTAACCGTGGGCGTGAGTCATCAAACGGAATCAAGTGCATAGTCACGTGTTATTTGAATGAATAAAGTTCAGCCCTTTATTTATAATTGGTCATCTCCGTGATGTCTATCGTTTGATTTCCAGATTTATAACATTTCATCAGTCTCTTTTGGTTGATTTTGATCCGTCTGTCATCACACAGGGTCTTCCAATTTAAAGTAACAAAAGCTTTGACTATTTCGCTTAGATCTTGAAAGTTCACATCAGCTTGGTGTCATACTCTTGATTCTACTGTTACCTTTGGCAAAATTGAAAATTTTATCAGATACTTTTTTACCTTAATTGAACTTGATCATGAGGAATGCGGCTCAATATGTGACCCCAACTTTTGGTCCAAAATAATTGCCATAACATACACCAGGCACTGTAATTTGTGAAAAGTACGGCGTCACTGAAGGAAACAATATGGCTTCGTGAACACCTTTAGTTGGACATCATGACTGGATGCTCAAGATAAATAGCCATTTAAACATGCAGTGAGACTGTCGCTCTCGGTGATCGAATGGAGACGAAATTGATCATACAAGCCTTAACCGAAGAGTCTTACTTCGAAGGGGTGAGGGGGCGAGGCGGGGCGGGACGGAGGAATTACCGTAATTATTGCGCAGTGATCGCAATTTATTTCAATCAAATGATTTCCTGCAGTAGTTGTTTGCGTTGTCGTTTTTGTCAACATTTGGGAAGTCGCTTGGGAGGCAACAACTAACACTTGATGGAATTTCGCCACCATGTCAAGCTGCAAGCTGAAAAGTTCAAGTACATTTTGGAGCGCTCGGAAGTACGTCAGGGGGCTATCCCCAAATAACAGAGCTTTTTAAATACGAGTATGCGTCGTAATTTTCTTGACAGTGTACAAGTACTCGAATCCAAGATAGCCTAAATTCTCCTTACTAATTCTCCTTACTGTCTTCTATACAATTCTTCTGATGTTAGTTTGGAGGATTTGGTATCCGATCAATTAACAATCCCCTAATTAATATTTTTCTTTATTCTCACCTTTTGGCTGCCTCATAATGTATTGATATTGTAAGGAGAAATTCTGTTCTGGTCAATTACGGGAGTTAAAGAATTTAAAAGGAGAAGCCTAAGAAACTGAATGGAAAATAATCAAATTTTGGATCGTTCCGCCCTGCCATTTTGTTGCTCCGTTATTCGTCCGTATTTCCCCTGGACTGCAGTAAAATACCGTCTCATCTTTTTCGCGCTTCACTGTCTTAATATGGCAAAATGGCGTCATATTGAACTGATAAGAGAAAAATAAAATTCCGCCCGGCATCACCAAACAGCTCTAAGCTAACGCTTTACTTTTTGATGATTTTATGGTTCTAGGGACCTTTTCTTACAACCAATTAGAGGAAATATCAGAAGGAGCTTTTACAGGCCTTGAAGATGTTTTCTTTACACTGTAAGTAGGGCTGTTCCTTTGTATGTCTAGAAAAGAGCATAATATATAAAGAGTGATCATGAATAGACTGAATTTAATTTTAGATTACATTCTCCATAAATTATGTGAAACAGGTACAGGACTTAAACCAATTTATTGTTAACTCCAATCATATATTCCAAAGGAGAACAACAAAGTAATGTAATACAATAGGCTTGCCATCTTATCAGGATACTTCAGCATTATCAACTGAGTTGATGACGTAAATTGGCCACCGTAAAGAGTTTAAAAGCTGACGTTTCGAGGATTAGCCTTTCGTCAATCGCTCTGTCTAAGGGCTAACGCTCGAAACGTCAACGTTTAAACTCTTTACGTTGGCCGATCTACGTTATCAACTCACATGATTGTACTAAATTACCCTGTTATACTCTCCCACCGACGCAGCACCACAGTTTCTTTAGAAACTTATCCCCTTTATTCGTTTATTCGGTTTATTGCTACTTTTGTAATTGCTACAATCTTTCACTGACCTAATAACGAGGAAACCTATCAAAGTGGCGAAAATGAAAGATTCAGATCTGTTGAGAATTTAGATCGACGAATAACGATCACTACTTACCAGAGTGCAAAGAGCAAAAAAAAAACGCTTTTAAAAAAGGAAAAGGAGACAAGAGAGAAGATGCTTCTAGAAACAACTCAGCGGAGGAATCTATTGTAGCTCAAACGTACTTAAAGAAGGGTATGGATGATGCAAAAGATTGCCTGAAGGTCGCAGTTTAATTCAGCGTAATTCTCAGTGATGTAATTAGGCAATAGAGATTGAAAAGGTTTTCCGCGTTTTATGTAACAAGTAAAACGCAACAATCGTTTAAAGTTCGCGAAACAACGACTGATCCTTGAATGAATCCTCAAGGTGATTCCTTTGTATTACATTCTACATCTTTATCGCGCATGATTTTCACGCGTGAGTAGCGCGAGAAATTTAACAAAATGGGGAATATTATTCGACGGAGAACTTGCTAGTGATGTAAATCGTGATTTTCTGATAAACGAGTACGGTGCCCCACCTTTTTAATGTCGTTATTTTGGTAAGAGCCATGTCTTAACCGACTTGGAAAAATTTAGCAAAAACCCACGGCCGTCTTAGAAGCAATAAATAAACTGAGTCGCCCGTCTTGGTGCTCACACATGGCCGAAGAAACCGTACAGTTTCATTTAGCAGTTGAAGGACAGCATATTAAAACCGTGTGAGGCTTTTTCAATAGTTCGATCGGTTGCTGAGGAAAATATGTTCTCAACTCAGCATATTGATTATTTGCCCATCTTCGCATAATAAGGCGTAAAAAGACAAGTACTTGGAATGTCAAAGTGACCTCGCGCACTTTGGCGCGTTGATGGCCGGTTAAGATTTTGGCCAGGTTTCTAACAAATCCTTCAATTATACATATCCTGTGAGCTCGATCGAATTAAGAGAACCCACGCAGAAATAAAGCGTGAGTTTTAAGCTCCTAGAGTTTTTCATGATTTTTACAATTTATTAACAAGGTTGTCAACGCGGTCATGCCGCTGACCAATGAGACACAAGCTTCTGACCCCTAAAGGCTCTAACCAAGAACAGTCCTTTAAATTACAATTATACGGTCAAATCGAAATTGTAATAATTGCAATGGGGAACGCGAGTTCCAAGAGAAATGACTCTAAATGTAGAACAGCGAAACAGAAACGAAGTACTAGCCAGTGAAAGAGGAGAGATGTGACAGAAACCAACGGCAAAACTCGCAACTATAATCAATCTACCGGCAATCCAAAACAAAACGTATTGGCCATAATAATTGCAATAGGGAACGCGAGTTCTAAGACAAATGCCTCTAAATGTAGAACGGCGCATTAGAAACGAAGCACTAGCCAGTGAATGAGGAGAGAAGTGACAGAAACCAACGGCAAAACTCACAACCATAATCAATCTACCGGCAATCCCAAACAAAGCGTGTTGGCGTCTACGCATGCACTCGAGTTTCATATTCTTATCCACGACTTCTACTCCCTTTCCGATGAACTCATACCTTATGCGACGGACTCTTTCTTTAAATTCACAGATTCTAATGGCCTAGTCTTCGAGAAACAACACACCTCTTAAACGAAATTTGCTAATCATTTACCATCTGATCTGATATTAGACTCTTTCGGTCAAAACAAAAAATGGTAAAATGAAAAATGGTAATCCTCTTCACCAGCAACTTTTCATATCGTTCTGAGTGCCAGTGCTCTCTATTCGTCAGGGGACAGTTGTTGGCCCCCTCTTATTCCGGTGCATTTGCATCCCAGAGATCTACCAGCAAAAATCTAAATATCTCATGTTATGATGTCTTGCTGACAGGTATTTGTCCAGTAATCAGTTAAAGAATTTACCTCCGGGAGTTTTCAACAGGACTAAATACCTCAACAGCCTGTAAGCACTAATTGATATAAATCTTTATTTTCTACCGCAAAATTTCATCCTTGACAGGTTGCATCGCGAGTCCCACTTGATTTTTAATAAAAAAAAACCTCTAGTCAAACATAACCAATTTTATTCAAGGCATTTCCACGAACAATCGCCCGGGCGCCTATTTGAAATTTCAGCTGAAAGAAGGGGTGCTTTTTGGAAGGAGGGCGCTTTGTCAAGACATTTTTATTATTCAGAAACTACTAATTTGTACTAATTCCGCTGTAGTAAAAAGCTTTATAGTTATTAAAGTGGCAAAGAAACAGATTTTCTTCCTATCTAATAAAGTGAGGGATGGGGAGTTGGGGTGGGGAAGGGGGAGAGGAGGGGGCGGAAAGGGGGGAGGGGAGGGGGGGGGGGCAGGAAGGGGACAGGAGACAGGACCTTATTTAAGGGGGAGGGGCGCTTAAAACGCAACAAAACGAGACTTCTTCCCGGTAACAGTATTATTATCTACCAGCACAAATCTAACTATCTCATGTTATGATGTCCTGTTGACAGGTACTTGTCTAATAATCAGTTAAAGAATTTACCTCCGGGAGTTTTCAACAGGACTAAAAACCTCAACAGCCTGTAAGCACTAATTGATATAAATCTTTATTTACTGCTGTAACATTCATGCGATTAAGGGGAGGGACTGAAACAGTCTCCTGCAGAATTCCTTTCATTACTAGCAAATGAAATATATACAACCTGAAGAAAACAAAGTTTATGGCGAGCAAGAAAACATCTTCTAATAGTGTAGCCCCCCCCCCTTCTTCACAAACCCTACCCAAACCAGGACTAGAAGCTGGCCTCAAAATCAAACTCAACCGTTTATCGGGGGCGGGTGGGAAGGCAGAGATCAGGCAACCAGGTAAGTACAAGTTAAACAAGACTTTTTGTCACCTTGTCTTAGGATTGCAGTTCTTTAGCCCCCAGGAGCATCCATTATCAGAGCTCAGTTACGACATCAAAATTTTGTCACAGTTTCTCTCACCCATGCTTAGGCTTGTAAGCAAATTGATGGCGTTGATGCAAAACACGGTGCGTGAAAAAATGTGCGTCGAAAACCTTGGGACGAATTCTTATTTCTTCAACACACGGTCATATTACGAGTACTGCGGTTTGGATTTGTGTAAAAGCTACCTTCTATGTTATGGGCAGCTCATTTGGTTTCGGGCGCATTAATCATTAAATGATTCTGTAATTTGTTTAGTTTAATCCGTTGGAAAACTCCGGCGTAACAACAATTTCTCTTCTACTAGACAACCGTTAGTTGATGTAATGTATATAGTACGGTGGAAAATATTTTTATTTCAAACACTTACCAAATGCTTCCTGAAAGAGCCCGAATAATTTAGGGCTATGTTTTTTATAGATAGGAACAAAGTTCATTTGGTTTCTAACAGGCTTCCAAGCAATTTTGAATCAAAACAATACGTGATCATAAAAAGTAATGATTCTCGGCGATTAATCCTCCTAGATTTACCTCTGGTCAGTTTTAAGTGACTAAAAAAGTAAGTGCAAGCAAATTCAAATGTATGTTTTGAAGTTGTGATAATCTGTTCAATGGCGCGTGCAAATCTTATCTTTCTTCCACCGAAAAAACTGAAGTTAAATGAGACACTTTATTCAGACACAAATGGATTTAATGTAGATTGAATTTCTTGGTTTCTCCTGTGCACTCAAAAAATGGCATTCAACGGACTAGCGTTTTAAAACTTGAAAACAACAAACTGTCTTGGCGATTTTAGATCTAGATAGTAAATTTGATTGATTTGAGCGTACGTAAAGACCTTTTGATGAAGTGAGTAGATCACCCCTGATGAAGGCACTTTACATGAGTGTCGAAACGTTGGCTCTATGAATTGTAACTTCTCGGTTACATTCATTATATCTTTAAACCAGAGTAGCATCAAACCAAGTTTGATTGATTGTAATTGTGAACCTTTTCAGTTGCTTTTTGTGAAGGATTATTAAATTATTAAATTCTAGGTCATCTATGGACTTCCTGTACATGCGAAAAGCCAAAATTATTTTTACTGTCGACATCAGTTTTAACTACATTAGAACTGTACTCTGTTTGAATTCAACACCCATGGCATCACTGAACGGGTGATGGATCATACCATGATGACTCAAGTGTATATTGTCAGTTGCATTAATTTGAAATTGTTGACTAAAGCAAGAAAGCTGGCTTGGGAGAAAATGTTACCATTCAAGGGTAAACAATAAACTGCAAAACTTGTGTCAAAAGAGCTGGGCAGTATGGATCAGTATAGGAAGCTAAACCAAAAGTGATAAAACTGCTACAGGAAATACCTGGATCAGTCTTTTGGTCAGCTGGCAGTTCAAATACTTTCTCCCAGGAGGGCAATACAGATCACTGTCTATGTAATGAGTTATAGATAAAGTGGCAATAGAAACAGGTTTTCTTCATATCTAAGAAAAAGAAGGAGGAGTGGGGAGGGGGGCGGTGGCTTATTCGAAGGGCGCTTGAAACGTATCAAAACGAGACTTTCTTTCGGTAGGAGTTATATGAAGTTAAAAGCTCTATCTAACAGCGCATTTCTGATATTTGATGTGATGATTTCTTGTTCACAGGGAGGAGGGGGAGGGGCGGTGGCTTATTCGAGGGGCGCTTGGAACGTAATAAAACGAGACTTTCTTTCGGTAGGAGTTATATGAAGTTATAAGCTTTATCTAACAGTGCATTTTTAATATTTGATGTGATGATTTTATTCTTGTTCACAGGGACTTATCCTATAATCAGTTAAAGGACTTACCCTCAGAAGTCTTCAGTTGGGTTGATGATCTCAACAGACTGTAAGTACCAACCAATATAAATCTTCATTTACAACTGTAACATCACCAGACAATCGAAAAAGTATCACGAAAAGCTCAACAACTTGCAAATGAAAAATATATAATCGGTGGAGAAAAAAAAGTTTGTGGCTAGTGATAAAACTCCTTCTAATTGTACACCCTCCCCCAGCCCTTCCTTACAAATCCCACCACTCGCCAATTAAGGATTAAGAGCTGGCCTCAAAATTAAACTCAACCTTGTATCGGGGTGGGTAGGGAAGGCAAAGATTAGGCAACCAGGTGAGTGAAAGTGAGTAAGACTTATTGCAGTTTTTTAGCCCCCAGGAGCAGTCGTTATCAGAGCTCAGTTAAGCCGTATGAAATCTTGTCAAAATTGCTCACCCAAGGCTACGCTTTAAAGCAAATTAACTGTGTTGATGAAAAACACAGTGCGTGAAAAGATATGCATCAAAAACCTTGCAAAGTATTCTCACTTCTTCAGCACGCGGTCATATTTTAAGTACAGCGGTTTGGATGTGTGTAATTGTTGCCTTTCTATGCTATGGGCAGTTCATATGGTTTCGGGCGCATTCATCCTCACGTGACTCGGTAATTTATCTAGTTTACTTGGTTGGAAAACTTGTCAAAAGAATTTCTGTTTTACTGAATATAATTGTTAATTGATATAATACATATGCTACGGACCGACCTAGGCTAGTGAATAGAATTTTTGATTATTTTCAAACACCTAACGAAATGCTTGCCACAAACTGAAAAATTTCTTAGCGAGTAGATAGTATAGAAAAAAGAGGCTATGCAAACTTAAAAGAGAGGCTTCACAGAAACATTTTTGTTTGCGTTAAGATAAAGGTAATTAAAAAGGCTTCCAAGAAATTTTTGAAACATGACTATCATGCCGATGTTTTCTTCAAAAACAACCAGTAATCTTACGGAAAGTATTATTTACTTCCATCGGTGATCAATTCACAAAGATTTACCTATGTGTAGTTTTGAATGGCAAAGAGAGTCAGTGTAAGTAAATTCAAATGCATGTTTTGTAGGTGGAAATAGTGTGGTTTTCGAGGATTAAAAATTAGTTGGACCTTTTAATTTCCTCACAGAAAGACCAGGCTTAACTTTGTGAAAATTGCAACATCGTCATTTAAATCACGACATAATCTAATTGGGCACCTCATCGTTAAATCCTGAATTTCGAAAAAAATTTTGCAGTTAACACCGTGTTCGATCAGGAAATCAATACAGTAAGGTAGCCTTGCGTAGCCAACGACGGCGGCTGGTTATAAAACCCGAATAATCACCGAATACTGCGAATAGTCGCGAATAGTCGCGAATAGTCGCGAACAGTGACGAATAGTCGCGAATAGTGACGAATAGTAGCGAATAGTGACGAGAGGTGGCGAATAGTGACGAATAGTAGCGAATAGTGACGAATAGTGACGAATAGTGGCGAATAGTGACGAATAGTAGCGAATAGTGACGAATAGTCGCGAATAGTGACAAATATTGATATATACATTGATTGTCAAGTTTTCGGTAAGTGACTAAATCAAGTTCCCCTATTTGTCAGGCGCGCCCATATGTCATGTCGCGTTACCAACTCCGGTCTTCTAGTGACCTGATTAGGCCGTTTATTGTAAAAAACAAGACACTCTATAGAGTACACACTCGTGCTTAACCTACTGCGAATGAGCTTTGTTATACATATACTGTGCGCTTTGCATGGCTTTCTTCTCTTGTAGCTTGTGTGACAATAGCGTGACATTTTATAGGTGTCCAAGGTCAAGGCGTTCAAGAACATATCAATCAAGTTTTACGTTTTTCATTCTTAACGTCATAGACCTTTATTGGGATTCCTGTGCAATTTATTGTTATTCACGGATGTCACCGAGGGAATTATATTTCTCGAAATATAAATGAAGGTCACGAGATGTGAGTGAGAGTTTTCGGTAAAGGCAGTCTTCCTTTACGAGTTAATGTGCGTGTTGCTGTTCGAATCGAAGCCTGTTTACGGGCCGAATTAATTAAGGCCAAGATAATATGTATGATACCGATAATTTTCTGGTGAATCGAAATTAGTTCAGGTACATGGTCGAGGCACATACTGATAGATGTAGTTCAACAGCAGTGTCAGAATCTCTGTAACACATTGCACTGCAAAGTGTCTTATATTTATCAAGTATTCTTTATCCGCCGCAGAGGAATTTGAAAGCATACTCGGAGGTAATTTTTTGTAGTATGTAGATTGGTATCTTTATGAACAAAAGTTACTTTCCTCGATAAGTTGTTGTGATATCTGACGGAGTTGGAATCGAAGCTCGTTTACGGGCCGAATTAATTCAGCCTATGTTAATAAGATATCTGACAGAGTTTGAAGGAGAGTGGAGTCGTGTTTTGCGGAGTTAGCCTAATTTTGGATATCTTACTAAAGAAAATGTTCGTTGTATGTGTTTTAAAATTGAGTCGTTTACTGTAACTTAATACCACAGATCGACAGAATGGAATGCCTGTGCCCCAAATGAATTTTGATGTTTTTAACTGGAGAAGCTTATCGACGTCTTCGTCGCTCTCTTTTTTTTCCGCAATTCTGCAACTAGCGCGGTGAAATTCGACAAATAACGCTTCAGTTCATAGTCCATTGTAACCGTTCATAGTCTGCGGCTCTTTTCCCGCACTGCACTTGTTGTCCTTATTGACATGATTGTAATTCATCCTCTCCTATCAAATTTAATTATTTGACAACTTTCTGTTCCTCACTTTTGGAGCATCATTTTCTTGCGTTTTTAGATTCACGGGCAGCACGGTTTTTGCATTCAGTCTTCAATTTAATTCCACGATTCAATTTCTTTTCAAAATTAAGCTAAAAGGTGTAGGTATCATGGCTGAGTATATGCTTACATCAGTCAAATCATCACCTCGCTGTAATATCTATTTCATTTGGTTGGCTGGAAATACTCGCAAAACTCTAGTAAAAAATGCCAATATCTTTTAAAGCAAAATTTTCCTGATTTCACAATGTCACACACAAAATACGTCAAAGATGCAGAGTTTCGGCTCTAACTTTTGTTCTTATCAATTTTTGTCGCACCGTTTGTTTCGTTCAGGGGATATTGGTGCATAGCACTTTCTTTTGAGTCTAAATGGCTTTTCAACAGGGGTTGAAATGACAGAGCGCGAGCTTGATGAATTCTTTTATCGCGACATTCTAACGTACCCAGCCGCAGTCTTTCCTTACCTTCGATGAAGGATCGTTTTCTGCTGCTTTGGGAGTAATGATATGACAGTCAAAGAAGTGAAAACATGTGCATCGTGTTGCGATTAAGCTCTGTTAGGTGTTTCTAAGCTACAGAGCTAAGTGATTCCTATCAAGAGAGCAGATGAAGCTTCTACTGGTTTTGTTATCGATCAGTATCACAAGATTCAAAGGGCTGGAGATGATAATTTACGTGGAAAGGAAAGGCTTTATCTGAGATTGGGTGCAGATTGCACCCTAAAAAACTCAAACAGCCGCACAAAAAACTTTTAACTCAAACTTATTGTAACTTAACCTCAAAGCCTCGTTAGCCCCGGAAAATTCATTTACTTATGATGATTTCAGTCTTGAGTCACGTATACCTGAAATTTCATGTTAAAGGGTTCATCTTGTTTTCTCTTTTATAGTGACATGTCCTATAACCAACTGGAACTGCTGCCTCCTAAAGCTTTTTTTGAAATGGTTTTTCTTCAAGAACTGTAAGTAGAACATTTCTTACAGATGTTATAGGGATTTTGTTTAGGTTGCTCCTCTTTATCAAATATTGTGTTATGATGTTCTGAAAATAACTGTTTATGGCCATGTCTCAAAATGACTACCTAAAAACAAATTGAAGTATTTGATTAGTTAAACTCGATATCGTTCATAGTCGAGATTTTCCAATCTATACACCGACATTTAGATCGATGTTTTGTAATATTTGTTCTTAAAAAGTAGCATAAGAAAAACGACGAAAAAAACATCACTAACGGTTCTTTTAGATGGTACATTAAAAAAAAATGTGTCTGGTCCACTCAACTGAAATCGAAGTAATGATCACTGTGAGCTTTTTGAGTCTATTATTCGAATAAACGCCGCATCATGTTGCGGCGTTTATTAGAAGGCGGTACCTATCAATATTTCTGCTAAAAAAAATGCGGCATGTAATTTATTCGGGGACGGCGTTATTTCGAGGGCGGCGTTTAATCAAATAAATAAGGTAATTTTACTTTTGGCCGTCTGTCGGCCGACGGTCGGCCGACACTTAAGTCTGCAACATAACGAAAAATGTCGATTGTTGGCCGTCTGTCGGCCAATTGTCGGCCGACGATCGACCAACTGTTGGCCGACGGTCAACAGTCGACCAACAGACGGCCAACAGTCGGCCGACTGTTGGCCGACAGCTGGCCGACAGCATCTTGTGGGAACTGTTCTTCACTTTAATCTAAAGATTTACATGGAAATGAACATTCGCGCTTTAAACCTTTAATAGATCTGGACTAGTTTTGAGTAATGATAGATTTACCCCACTCGAGTAATTGTTCTTCTGCCTCAGAGGCGATGTGCCAGTTTTTCGATGAACGTGGCTATCCTGTTTCTGTCATTCAAGCGGACCACCACCGTGCCCAACTCAAATTGATCGACAGTCAGTACCACAAACGGCTGAGAAGGAAAACACTGGACGCATTCCATTCACTCTCTCATTTCACCCTCACAACCGCGCAGTTAAATCTATCATTCTAAAAAACTTTAGATTACTTCAAAACGATTCAGAGACTGGTACTATGTTTTCGCAACCTCCACTGATTTCATTCAAACGCGACAAAAACAGATACAACTTTTTGGTCAGAAGTTCATTTCAAACCAGTGACCAGCGTAACTCCATTTTCTGCATAGAAACTCACACACAACCCACAATTCCTCCAATCGCTCTGACGAAGGGCTAGCGCTCGAAACTTAAAAACAGGGTGGCCAATCTACGTTATTAACCAGTTGATAACACAAAATCCTCTTGTTATACTCTCCCGCCAATGTAGCACTACAGTTTCTTAAGAAATTTACCCCCTTGGTTGTGTTCATCATTTATTTAAAAACATCCAAACGCCTACGGTAGTAAACATGAGTAGGAAAAGTCATCCTTTCCACCCATAAATTGCAATTGTGTCAAAGTTGTCAAACTGAAAAATTAATTTTCGGTGTTAAAAAAAACCGTTGAAAAAGGCAGAAATTACGTGCTTTGTTCTCATAATGGATTGATCTAAATAAGAGGAGCAAAATAAATTCCTCAAGTCTGAGTTTTGTAAGCGGGCCTTTGAACGCTGAGGCGATTTTTCTCGGCAAAATTTGTTTTGCAATATTTTAAGAAACTAAGGTGGTTCAACCAGTCGATTGTTTTGACGAAGGGGTTAAAGCTTAGTGGCCAATTTACGTTTACAACTCAGTTGTTAACACTAAATTACCTGCTAAATTTTCCATAGGTTTGATTCCATAGGAATCAAGTAATCGCTAACTTGTATTTTCAATGTGTTACATTTGATGTCAACAAACTTTGGTTTAAGCAGCTTCTCTAAAGAAAACAATTTTCGGTGGTGTTCAACAACACAGCTCTAAAAACATGTTTAAGCTTTGGTGTGAATGGGTTACAAGAAAGATTCATGGGAAAGTTTCAACTCAAAGTGAAAGAAATCGATTTTTCGAACGGAAATGCACCGGACCACTTTTAGGGAGACTGCGTTTTAGGGATACACTAGACTTTTAAAGCCAATTTTTTGTTTTCGTTTTATGTTTTTGTTTTGTTTTTGTTTTTCATTTCAAACTTAGCATCGCTATTTTAACTCCAGTTTTCAAGAAAAACTTCCATAAAATATTGAAACAAGAGCGAGTTTTTTAACGAAAAGCCGTATTGAACGCCATTTTGAATTATTTTGATTACTCTGACAAAAATGTCGGCCATTGTAGCATCCCCCAGATATTTGAACAGAAGACAATAGCACGACTAAGGAGACAGAGGGAAACCTAATGAGACAGACAGGGAATAACGCGTTTAATCGAAGTTTTAATACATAAATTAATTGTCAAACAGATCAGAATCGAGCTGGTTAATTTTCCTTCCGAACCAAAACCCCATAGTAGTACTGACTTCATACCATAAAGCAAAAAGTACTAGGAGAAAAGGAAACTTCAATTTCGACTCGCGTTAGGCATTGCTTGTGCCAGATATTGCTTAAAATATCAAAACTTTCTTCATAAGGAGGCTTTCGTAAGAATTATATGCATTTTAAGTCTGAACATGAGAGTGATTTTCGTAGTGATGTCTCGCAGTAAGTTTTAATCTCTTGAAAAAAAAGGGAGCACTTAAAGACGTTTAGTTTTTCTCTTCAGATGTTCGTTTTCTCTTTTATTTCCTTTTGTGATTTAAATATATTTCGTATAAACTCCATCAGCCAGGAGAATGCAAGAAGCCAATCAGTCTTTGCTCGACTCAGTTACACGTAGATACCGAAAATCTCTCATCATAATAACTCAATTATTCGTGTTTTATCCCACAGTCGACGGGGTCTGCATTTGTTTCAGTCTGTGTTTTAAGTCTATATCAACAGCACCAGAGGAAATCAAATCAACCCATTAAATTTTTATTACTATTGTTTCCTTGTTGACGATACAGATTCCTGAACAACAACAACTTAAAGAATTTGTCCTCTGATCAGCTACCGCGACGGTTGGTTCGGCCAAACTTTGAAAACTTGTAAGTTAAGTAGTTTTGGATTTTCGTTTTACTTTAGATGAGTGATAATGCTACCTGAAGGTTCTTACTGCTTTTGGCAACACAACCATTTCCAACACGGGGGCTGAAGATTTAAACCACTGAGTATTAAACTGTAGATAAATTTTCACTAGTACTATAAGACCCATCCGTTATAATATTAAATTTTTTATTTGACGAGGCATGTTCAAGGTCAAGCAAGTGCAAATTAACATTTTTTAAAAAAAAAGAATGAAAATTGCGACCTGATACTAAGAAAAGAAACAAGTTCTTGCTAATATTTCCCTGATAAATCGAGTAGTATCATTTTGAATTTTTTTTTCGGCGTGTCTACTCCTCGAGCAACGTTTTCCTTCCCAATGTTAAATAAGTCATCGGGCAACAATTTTGCACCCAAAACTGCTAATTTAGAGTCAATTTAGTTCGTTCTTATTTTCAGAAATCTGAATCTTGTCGATGTAATTGTGATTGATGTAAAATTCAAATTTCAAATGTTCCCGTAGTATTATAAGCTCAAATTTCGACCATTATTAGAGAGCACCAGAGGTTTTTTTTCGCTTCGTCACGTTAATAAGACATTTATACATTGACTCATTTTTTCGCCGCTATTCTCAAAAGTCACTCAGATGAGCCTGAGGTCTCAGACGCTCGAGTTATAGCCTCTCATTGAAGTTAACGGTCAAACATCCAATGGCCAAAAAATTAACCATAAACCCTCAAAAGATTTGTACTTGCGACCGTCAGGAAAGCAAATTTATATGGGACGTGAAACTCGCAGAGGTCTCTTCAAAAGAACTAAAACTGAGTCAGGATATGCCACACAGATCCTTTTATTTACATTTCAGGCTACAGGAAATCATTTACTCACCTCCTTCTGAAAAAATTCCTCTCTCTTAAAACGTTACAGATGTTCTCTGTACTGGTTAGCAAGGGGCGTTCAAGAACGCACGCACCTCTTGCAGTTCGGACTTGAAACAGCTAATTAAGCCACCTAGAAGGGCCGTTAACAGCATATATTCAAGAATTTTTTTATTGACACAATTATGCCCGTTGTCGCGTCCTCTGTAGGTTCAAAACTGTCTTTAAAAAGTCTTAGAGGTCATCCATGCTGTCAGAAGGCACATAGAATTCTAAAAAAAGAATGATTCTGAAATAAATGTTTCGACATTTTTTCTGACATCTAAGCTCAATCATCTCAAAATCTAAATGTGAAAAAGTGCACGAGTAAAACGATTCAAAAAATAAATTGGACTTAATGAAGATGACGGACGAATTGTTAAGGCTCGACTTTCAAAATCCAAAATATTGTGTCGTCTTAAGATTCTGACGTATCCGCTGCTCTCCTTATGTCGATATCTTTTTACACAGAACCCTGGACTTCAACAAACTGGAGACTCTTCCTTCTGATATATTCCAGGGTTTCAAGTTGTACGATCTGTAAGTAATTGATCTTGAAGCTTTAGACAGTTGACGGCTGCTGAGTTGGATTGATTTCTCAATTTTCCCAAACATTTTTTTAGCGTTTCGTTCAAAAATGAAATTGAATTCCAATTAAGAAACTAGATGTAAAAAATTGAAAGTGCTAGTATAAATTAATAATTAAAGACGGGGGCTTCACACCCACTTCCCCGCCCCCCTTCCCCCCGAAAACACTCTTTCTCATAGATAGATAAATAGTTTATCGCTTATCGCCCTCAAAGAAGTTGTTTTTTCAGGAGAAATTTAAAGATCGCTTCAGGTTTCATCTCCTTGTCCCATCATGATTTACGGGATTTCAGAGTAGATATCTCAAAAAACTGGAATCATCAATCTCATTATTACCGTATATCAATGAATGTATACTTAGAATTGTCCTTGTTGAAAGTATACTGTAGGTAGAATTCAAGGCTTGCCCTCAGCGACAGAACTAATTACATGGCGTGACAGATTGAAGCTAAGAAAAGAATTGTGCATCTTACAGGTGGCTGGGAAACAACAACATTAAAAAGTTACCTGAAAACTTGTTTGTGGGGCAGGATAAGCTAAAATATCTGTGAGTGGTACTAAAATTGTTTATTGACTAATCGGCGGAAACTTTTTCGCTCATACAAATATGAATAAAACCTGAACTAAAGAAATGATCAACATTTCAGCATGGAAAGCTCGTTTCGGTTGGTCTACTTAAACCACCCGAATATTCTGGTGGCACATTCACCTATAACCAGTGGGCTGCGGGGTCAATTGCAATCTCTGATCAGGAGTCGATTACTCACTGAGTGGACTAACAAACATTTAAGACACACCGCATCTATTACTTAATCGTTATTGCGGACCTTTGTTTTGTTTGAGTCGCTCTGGATCACAGGACCTGTTGAAAGGCGAAGAAAATAACCTAAAATTATTTCATCCGATTTAACCTCGCTAAAAATTCCTAATAACCCGAGCGTGGGTTATATTCCAAGATCGTCCCTATGGAAGTACTCCTGAAAAATCCGTAAAACAACCCAGTCACAGTTAAGAGAGCTTCTTCTTGGCTGTGTGGAAAACGTGGTTTAATTGAAACAGCAAAAACTATTGACAACGGAATCGTGAAAAAAGGAGCTAGCGAGCTAAACAAATCACTTTAAAGTTTCTAAAACCAAGAATGATTAAGAATATAAGTTAGATAGCCTAAGAGGGATGATAGCCACACTCGACAGGTAATTAGATGTACAAGAATACGAGTGGTACATAACAAGAGCAGAAGAGTTCCACCCTTCCCAGAAATTCTCCAATAGAGAAAAGAGCTAAGCAGCTTCGCCAATGCGGTATAGGCAAACGTCCGTATAAAGCGTCAAGTTTTACCAAAGAGGAAGAAGAGGTACTATGGAAGGCAGAAAATTTAGGTTCTAAAACTCCACACGCTCTTATTTCTACTATGTGGTGGCTTTAAATGCTATCTTTTGCTACCCATGGCCGTCAAGAGCATCATGGAATGAAAATAGATTATTTAACTATGAAAAAAATGACGAAGGCGTGGAGTTCGTGCCGTTTACAGAAGGTCCAAAAAAGACGAGACAGGGCGGGCTTTAGAGTAAGAACATAGACTTCCAGCCACGGTTGTTTACAGCATCAGTTGGTGGAAAAAAGGTTTCCGGTAACTCTCTTTAAGCGGTTTGTCAAGTTAAGACCACTAAATATGCAATGGTCCGATCCTTTCTACCTCAGTATCTTTGAATGAGTATGTCTGCTTTAAAAGCCAACCGTTGAGCATAAATACAGCGTTGATGCAACATGATATGAAAACAATTGTGGTGGGTAGTAGCCATAAAAGAAAGGGTGGAAAAGGTCACGAATCACAGTGCAGGAGCTGGCCCATCATGAGCAGCATCGAAGGAAAACCAATTTCTGCTTTCAAATTTGGGTTTGAAGTCTCTGAATTTCTCCAGGAATGCAGCCACTTCATCTATGATGAGGTATCAAGAAGAACAGATCATGATGAAGACACTAAAAAGTTCGACTTAAAGTTTCTGTCATGGTTGGCCGCTCAAAGCGCGCACCTAATGTTTGAAAGCGACGGTCGAGTTCTGATGAACGCTAAGCTTTTATAGTCGAGGGTGAATCCGATAGACCAGTTCAAGTCACTTTTGCTGACTACTGCACTATGAATTTTCTTCAGAACGTTTTTTAATGGTTCAAAATCAGTCTGCAAACGTTTCCAAGCTTACAGCCGACAGTCTTGATAAAGTTTGAATTAAACAAAGGCTGTAATCTGTTTCGGCCAATCATTTTGATGCATTTAAATAAAATAGCAGGGTGTGGTGTCAAAATTTCACTTATTTTGATCTTCTTTTTTCCTTCTTTCTTATGTATTATATCATTCATTAATTTTTCATACTAAAAATTGCACTAATCCAAGGGGCTTTTGTTCGTCTGAAAAATCTATTCGGGTTTACTTAAACGCTTCTTTAAACAAACTTCAATGTAAAGTCATGTGATTACCCATGCAAACTGTAATTCAGTGAGTACATTTTGCTCAATTTAAAACTATTTTCTTGTTCTCCCAATATAGGCGGTTGAACGGCAATCAGCTAGAAAAGCTATCACGCGAAATATTTCTTGAATTGTCTGCCTTGGAAGAATTGTAAGTAAAATTTTTTTAAAGATTTTTTCAAAATATCATTATTCAGTACATTGCGTTTGTATGAGACCAACTGTTATCGACTAGTTCAAAACATAGCACTGATTTATTGACTATATCTATCAAGCTTCGCAAATTTGGAAAAAAAATCACTGAACATCTAATGATGATGACTGGTCACTTTTCAGCGATAAAAGTGGATTCTGTCAATTATCAAGGAGTGGACTTGCCCCGATTGTACTCGTTGGAAAGTTGCTCATCGGATCGCTAAAAAAATTCTGAAAAAAAATTGCTAAAAAAAAATTAAAAAAGGTTACCAACTGAATTTTAAAAGTTGCCGTCTTAATTTCTCGATACTCCTCTTCTATAAACGTTCATTGAAAGCTTTATTTTTCGTTCTTCACTATAAATGCTAACATAGATCAAGAAAAATAGTTTGAAACTTAGCTTTAAAGAGTTACTTGCAAATATGGGCCCAATTTATATAAACTCTTACGTTTAAAGGAACAAAACACATGGTTCATTAGACGCTTTGCCGAACGATATGAGGGAATTGAATGAAATTAGCGCTTCTGATTGCATTCTCAGAGTCTAAACCATAAAATTCTTAAAGTTTTCAATGAAATCGTTTGTTTTTTCATGCTTCATATGTGTTGTAAACCTATCTTTTGCATAAAAACTGCTCAGAAAGGCACGAATTATTGCTCCTAACCTCAAAAGGTGCTCAAAAGTTGGCAAGCGCGATCGGGACAGGTCTATCAGGGACTACAAAGCCGGTTAAATGACTAGCTCGCTGTGGTGGGGTTGGGGGAGGGGAGGGGGAGAGAGGGGGGAAGGAAGTGCAGAGAGACTCAATCAAAAATTTGTGAGCCTCTAATTTTAAACGTTGTCTAGAAATTTAAACATCAAGCCCCCATGAAAACGACCATCAACTAGAATTGTTTCTCAGCACTTTCTCCACTTTTAATATAAATAAATAGAATAGATGTTGTCGTGGGTCTGTTTAGTAATAGATCGCAGATGACGTCAAATTGTGATTAGAACTAAAAGAGAGACACAGGCGAGTGTGTCAGTGGCGTTTTTCACAAAGTATGACGAAGAAAATTTAGCTTTGTTGGAGCACACATGCCTAACTAACCGTGGGACAAGTCTAAAATTATCACCACCAATCGGCATTACCGCCAGTGCCTTTGTTTGGAAGCGTGGCATATCGACTCCACCCACACTCGTTTAAATCGTGATGATGGTGGCTTACTACCAGACGCCTATTTACACCTCGTAAGAAAAAAAGGCAGCTAATTAGTTAGCATATAAAAGGACTTCTTGTTGCAGCAATTAGATCGCCCCTGATGAAGGCACTAGACAGGAGTGTCGAAGCGTTAGGTCTTTGAATTGTAACTTCTCGGTTATATTCATTAAATCTCTAAACCAGAGTCACATCAAACCATAAAAATGTTGAAAAAATTTTTGTTCGACGAGAAATACAGTAATTTTCGATGGAAAGATCAAATTCGAAACTAATATCAAGATCATTTTCCCGATACGGTTCAAATAAAGTCGATGTCCATATAATGGGCATAACATCTATTTATAGCACTTGAAAACTTATTTTAGTTAAGGACATTTGTCCCATTACTTTAAAATGTTTGTTAACTGCAACCTCTGACTTGTTCTATTCACCTCGCTCCCCGCTTATATTATTGCCAGGGACTTGTCCTACAATCAGTTGCAGTTTTTGCCTCGAGGGCTACTTAGCAATAACACCAACCTGACAGAACTGTAAGTAAAACTGGTTGTGAAACAAAAAAGAAAAGCAAAGTTTCAGGTAAAATATAGATAATTAATAATGGTGGCCTTTAAACACTTAAAAAGTTTACTTATATCTGCTTCGACGTGATCCGCTATCGGATGAATTGATTCAATGATTAGCGTTATTTGGTTTTGGATCTCAGAATGCGTTCGGTGGGCCTACTATTAATTATTGTCTAAAACGAAACGTCTCACGGTTTACTACATGGAGCTATTTTTCACTGAGGGAATCTGCTGCATATTGGTTATTCCTGGCCATTGTTTGTGGGGTCAGGGGTATTACAAATGTCTCCATTCGCCTAATTTAAATCTAAAAACACGTTGCGGTGTATAACTGGTTGGCTCGTTTGGCTCCTGTTTAGCTCATACCAGAATACTTAAGTAGCGGGCTTTCAGCCCATTTTTAAAGTAGGATTTAAGTTCTTGAATTGTTATTTAGTTTACTGTTATCTGAATAAATACTTTAAGGAATTTGTCAAACAACAAAATTCAGCGTCTACCCATGGATGTTTTTGGCAACCTCACTAAGATGAAAAGGCTGTAAGTGGCATTCAGCCCTAAGCGGCAAAGGGAATTATAATGTATAGTTTTTCATAGAGCTTAAAGTAAACTTATGCAGTATAGTAATAATAACAATATTTTAGCAGGGAGCCCACTTCACCAAAAGGTGCTCCTCAGTGGGGCCCTGCATTATGACCATTCTGAAAACAGAGCTGCGCGAACTTAGATTTTGTGATTATTTCAAGATGCGTATTGGCTTTATATAATTCTAACTTTTGTGGAGTTGATCTTCAAGAACAATTGAAAGAAAATGGTCAATATTAAATTCAATTGTCTCACACTGCCTTTATTTTCACGTGACTTGTGACTATCATTTTTTTTTCGCTGAGTAACCAAAGAACTCTGTTAAGATTGATTTGTGATGTAAGTGACATAATATCGTTTGGTGCATCAGTACTGAAAAGTGATGTCATGATATGAAAACGCCCATGTTAACAATGAACGTGCAAATGGTATCTTTTACCTAAATTCTCAGTACCAGAAGTAAACAGTTTATGTACTCAGCAAAAATGTGTCAAGTTTTATAATTCCTCAAAATAGCTTTACCAGAACCAATTGGGTTTTTTTTCAATAAAGTTAAAGTCCTCCCTATTCGGGGAGAACAAGAACTTTTCCAAGAATCTCAAATTCTATTTTAACTGACTTCTTTTTCATTCTATATATTACTTTAGCTTTCTCTCCAGTAACAAACTTCAGCGCTTGCCAAGGTTCAAAAATCTCTCCAAGTTGGAAATATTGTAAGTGATTGACGCTTGTAATGTAACTGGTTCAGTAAGTGTCTTGCTAATGAGCATTAATTAAAGGAAGCGTTGGCCAAAATCAGCTTCGGTACGGACTCTATCTATGGCATCTTCTTATGACATAAAAGTTTATTTGAGGATGTTAATTGAGTAAGTTAAAAGTTAAAAATATGCATCCACTTTGGAAAGAGATGCCATCAACTAAGAATTACCAAGAGTCAAATGTTTAAGGTGATAGAACAAAATATAACACAACACATCCTGTACAATACATTAATAACACTCTTCCCTTACGTTAGAAATGATCGCTGATTGATGATTAACCTAAATCAAATTTCAATGATAAATTGTTATTTTTCTGAAAAAATTGTTTACCGGCTATTAAAACGTTTTCGTCAATATTGAGATGATTTGGGATTTAAATGAAAATACAGGATCCATGGATTCCAGTTTTTAACAAACATTTTTCTGTAAGCTTTTCGACATGTTCCAGAAAAGGGTTGTTTCAATTAAAAGCATAGAATTCCGGGTGGTGCGATTACAAATGCGCGCTTTAACTTGATTGCAAAAGTAAATGGGCACACGTCCGATCATTCATTTAAATTTCACAATAGCGTTACCAAGGTTTAACCATTGTTTTCATGGTGGCCAGCATAGTTCTTTCGGTGAAGGCGTAATATGATGGGACTTAATTGTTTCTGTCGCAGTGCACGCAGCAACGTTTTGGTCCAAATACACTTATGGGACGTTTTTTCAGGAAGTGTTGGAGCACACTGATTAGCACTAAAACAGTTTGCCAAATACCAAGGCACTAATACGCTTATGAAGGAGGTTTCGATTATAAACATGACTGACTTTAATAAAAGATGAAATAGTTTCTATAATATGAGACAGGGTTCAGGACAAAATTAGTCTCGAGGTCCTTAAAAGATAAAGCTGGGTCAAGGACTTAAGGACCTCTGAGTTTCGCAGTCAGCTGTGTGCTGCCAACCACCACTAAAGTCAATAAATACCTCCCCCCGTTGAAGACTCTAATTATACCGAGCGCCTGGTGCACTTTATTGTGTAGGTACATGTATAACAACAGCCTCGCAGCCCTGTCACCTGATCAGTTCCAAGGCCTGTCCAAACTGGAAGAACTGTAAGTAAACATAGAAATCATACCTGACTGCACAAGTAACTATTCTTGACCAAATATGTATTTAACCAACTTTAATTGATATTCATTTTCTCGCCGAATCGTTCAGCTTCCTTGTTTTACTCTTGGTTGGAGAACATACAACTGCAAAAACAAGGAAGGAGTAATTCTCGAAAGTACAAGTATTCAATATTTTTGTAGTTTTACAGAGGGTCAGTAGAGCGAATAGACCTTTCTTTCCTCCTCCCACCACTTTTGCCCAAAGTTCCGCTAAATTTTTAAGCCAATGTACTTTGATTGGATAAAGCTCAGAAAGTTTAGCAGAATTCTGAAAAAGATGCTCTGTCATCCAAGATAGCACCTACCACCTCGGATTTCTCTTGGAAAAGACAGAAAAAGAAGTAGATTAGAGATAAAGGAATTCCTCAAAAAATTCAACAGATAAATGGAACAATGCTTTTAAAGTAGTTCAAATATAAGCATGCGCTAAGTTTTGACATTTTCAGCAAGGTAACGGCAAATTGCACATCAGTCTAACTTTTACGCATTTCTGACTGTGTTTTTTTGTACCTTTTTTTTTTTTTTCAAAATTGGATAGCTTTTAAAGATATCGTGGGGAGAGGGCATTTATCAATCAATAAAGATAGGAAGGAAGTTTATGTAAATACGAGTTTTCTTCCAAATTTTTCTATATTTCTGATAATAATAATTTGTCCTCTTTTTTGTTCAAGGGCTGTTTATGAAAACAATATCGACTACCTGCCGCGTGAAGTTTTTAAAGGCATGAAAAACATGATTTCTATGTAAGTATCTGTCTCTAAACTTTCCTATAAATAACATTCTTTGCTAATTTTCTGTCCAGTGTTGTTATAATTTATACCTTGATGCTTGTCAATTGACGCTCTACACTTTTCATTGTTTCATCGTTCTCTAGGAGCTTTTATTTTAACAATATCCGTGCCGTTACCAATGAACAATTCAAAGATGTCGCTCCAACTATTCGGTTCCTGTGAGTATGAGTAAACTGATAATATCCCAGGTGTGTTCAAACTACTTCGAGTTCAAGGGAGACAGATATCGTTGGTGCGACCTACACGTGCCGTAAACTTACGGATTAGCGCCCATTTCCCATTTTAATGAATGGACAAGTGATAGCATTGTGCCGCTACTAGAAGTTAGGATCGGCTTTATACACTAATGCACAATTTATACTTTTATTTGCGCCCAAATGTTATACTCCTTTGGATGATCATATCTGGTCACGAGAAAAAGTTTGGGAAAAACTTAAGGGAGGGCCCCTCCCCATAAAGTACCCTCTCGGTAATGGGGGACCCACCGTTTCAGCCTTAATTTGAAATGAGTGCACCAGGTGCTCATTCGAGGATTAACAGCATATGAATATAACAAATAAAGACACTTCGGCATAGCTTGTGTAAGTATGTTTTACACGCTCAATGACGAGTTATTCGTATTCGGTGTCAGTTTTCTATCAAATAGTTGTTGAGAATTGGGCGAGAAAAGGAAAAAGAGAGAGCCGAAAAACTGATTAATACATAATGGTAATAGGACAGAGTGGAGTCCAATTCGGTCTGTAATCATACGAGTGATCAACAAAATCAGACGATCGCGAGGTGGGAGTCCGATTTGTTAATCACGAGTATGATTACAGACAGAATTGGATAAGAAGAAGTCCTGTTACCAAGTAATCATAGCCATTTCAATTTCCGAAAAAACAAATACACCTAAAACAAATATCTCCAGTGAAGACAATATCTTTAGTTAAAAATTCCTCCATTTTGAAAATTCCCTAATTTTTCTTTGAATAATTGGTTGTTGCTATGATTATTTCGATCATTTCTGTGCTTGGCGGATTAGCTGAGTGGAGTTAGCATGATTGGCTGCTTCAACTGTCCGATTACAGTAGCCCGATTACAGCCAACTGTCCGATTACACTGTCCTATTACAACTGTACAGAATGATTAGTGAAAAATGAAGCTGCACCAATAACATTCGAGGAATTTGTAATGGTTGTGATTAATAGACTAAAGATGTCGATGTAATCGAGAATTAGCAAGCAAAGTTTGATTGAATGTCTTTCCTTAAATTTGCAGGTACTTCCACTACAACGAATTGCGAGAATTACCGGAGGGTTTCTTTTCAAACATGAATAATCTAATCACTGCGTAAGTCAAGTGGAATATTCTGGATGCGAGGAGTTGAAAATAGAAAAATTTCATTTGCCAGTGCCCAGTTATACTGTAATTAGAGTATTACTATCACACTTTCATTTTCTTAAAAGTTGAGATCCTGTGAAGGATCAAATTTGTCTTTTGTCCCTTTTGTTGTTCATTTGAACTCTTTTTATGAACCGTAGGACTGTAGACACCAACCTGATGTGTTGCCATTTGACGAAGGAGGACGCAGATTGCGACTTTGCTTATGTCGACAGCTTTGCCAGTTGTGAAACTTTGTTCAGAAATCGAGCTCCTAGGGAGTGCCTCTGGGTGATTGGAATTATGTCGTTGGTTGGTGCTGTGTTTGTCATTGTGTGGCGGTCGGTGTTTAGGGAGACGAAGAAGAAAAACAAGATACAGTCCATCATGTTGATACATTTGGCTGGGTCTGATGGACTTATGGGTGTCTACCTCATAACTATAGGTGTGGTGGATGCCATTTGGGCCGGGGAGTATTATTTGCATGACTATTACTGGCGTTCAAGTTTGACATGTCAGATAACAGGTGCCATTGCCGTGTTGTCAAGTGAGGTGTCTGTAATGACAATTTGTTTGCTCTCCGCCGACCGGATGAAGAATGTTCTGTTCCCCTCTCGTGGAAAGTCCCTTTCACTTAAGGTTACGCACCTTTTGTGCTTCCTTATCTGGATTGTTGGTGGCATAATTGCCTTTATTCCCACGGTGGGCTTTGACTACTTCGGTAGTCGCCAGAAAGGTCATCACTTTTATGGCAGATTAGTTGTATGTCTGCCATTGCAGCTTTCTACTGATAAGTCGTCGGGCTGGGAGTACTCTGTTGCCATGTTTGTTGGTTTAAACTTTACCCTTGTGCTCTTTGTCGTTGTGGCATATGCGATGATAATCTATAAGTCTTGCGCATCAAACAGGCTCATGGCTAAGCAAGGGAGCAAAAGAGAGAGGAGAATGAAAGCCAAGTCAAGGGTAGCCGGTCTAAGGAGGGAGGCCTCGCTCGCCAAAGGAGTGTTCTTCATTGTTCTTACCGACTGTGTCAGCTGGCTGCCTATTGTGGCGATTGGAATGAGGTCTCTCTTGGAAAAATCCTTCCGTACACCGGGTGACCTCGCAGTTTGGATCGCAGTCTTTGTTCTGCCAGTTAACTCTGCCATTAATCCCATTCTCTACACCTTGTCTACCCCACAGGTACATGTACTAATAACTTGAACAGTTGGAAAAATATATATACAGCTAATAAATTAAATTTTGCACTTATATCATCACTCACAGATCACAGATTACATCTAAATTAGACAAGAATAAATAAGTGGAACACGAACCGCCAAGAAGTGTCAAGAAGTGTGTTTTACCGTATTTTATATTAGCTGGTCAACTTGATTTCCGCCATTTCTGGGATCCCTCTGCCTCAGAACTCTCTTCTGAATGTAAAACGTGCACGTTTTCATTGTATCGCACTCGGTTTGAGAATGGCTGGAAAGCTGCACAAACATAGTTTGCATTTGTGGGGAAATTAAAGACTCGAAGGGTTCAGAAACTGGTGAAGAAGCACTATTTACTGATTATAACTTCGTGCTTTATTTCGATGTATTAAGGTCCGAGGAGTCATCAGAGCCAAACTCCAACCATTGTGGGATTATCTGGTGGCAAAACTCGGCCGAAATCAAGATGTTGAAGGTAATTTTTGACACTTTTAAATAATATTTCTTCATTCTGGGAAGCGTTTTTCCCGTTCTTTAATTTTTTGGTTTCATCCTATAAAGTTACCTTTAAAACAAGTTTAAGAACAGGTTTACCGTGGGTTAATTAATCAGATCGGCTCGTAAGCCAAGAGATACTTTTTGTTACCTATATGAATAAGAAACAAACAGATGTATATATTTAGTGGCGCGCGAGCTTGTGTATTTCATGTAAACACATAGGTAGACTCAACCTCAAATGATAAAAAAGACGTTGCCTTATGAATGAATAATTTTGTTATTGCTGATGTTTTGTCCACTTGCTTGTATTTTTCCGTCAGTTCAAGATCAGGGAATAGAGATGAGAGTTATCGAAGAAGGTATGCACCATTCACTTCTCCACAGACTAGAGCACATTTCAGAACGCAACACCTGGCATTTAAATACCAAGCGAAACAGAAAAGCCAAAGAAAAGCATTCATGTAACTTTGAAGTAATTCGGTTCGACCTTTTTACCAGTTTAAGAAACGCGTAAAAAGTAATTTAGCCTCCAGTTTGAAGTTTACAGACAACCATATTTTGAGTCAATTTAATGACTGTAATTTTTCGTTATGTAATATACTTAATCCTACTTTGACTGATTCTTAATTACTATTTAGTGGAGGGAAAACCTATAGATTTTGTCATCACTAACAATATTTCGCTTTTTATGTCGTAAAACAAATACAAGTCGCTCACATAAAAATGGAAATGGGCTAAGAACATCAGAGAGTTAATCGGCTGAGTCCACTGCACCACGTTTTTGATGTTACCACATTCCGACGTCATCTGTGATCTATGAGTGAACAGACGTACGGCAATATAAGCTACTTGCTCGGTCGATCCTGAAAAGTTTTTAAAGAATGGTTTTAGTAATTAAGGTATCAAAGCCACAAAGAGATATTCGGAAAGAGCAAAGGCGGAGCGTAAATGATTTAGGATGGAGAAGTTACACGATGCAGGGACCAAATGCAAAAAGCACGATGTAGCTCGTTTAACAAATTTGGCGATTTGGCCAACTACAACAACCTGAGCAAACACTTTTTAACCTCATTCCCTTTTTGTGTTTATTTCATTGAACACAGTACAAAACCAAGAGGAAGTGGGGAGCGCTGACGATAGTGAGGATGAGTCGCAAGAAGAACAAGGAGATGGTGAGCACCATGCAGGATCAGGCGAAAAGAATGAACAACCTCCTGAATCCCAGCAAGTTGAACGTGAACAAGACGAAGAACCAAAACAAGGAAAAGAAGAAGCCACTGAACTGCAGCGAGTTGAACGTGAACAAGACGAAGAACCAAAACAAAGCCAAGAAGAAGCGACTGAACAGCAGGAAGTTCAACGTGAACAAGACGAAGAAGAACCCACTGAACAGCAGCACGTTGAATCTAAAGGAAACGAGGCACCAAAAGATAACCATGAAGAACCCACTAAAAAGCAGGAATTTGAACAAGATCATCAAGCAGATTCAAAGGGAAGCAAAGAAGTAAGTGAAACGCAACGAGAAAAAGAGGAACTAAATGACGACGATGAAAAACCTGAGCGAAAGCTAAAAGGAGACGACCAGGGATCCAAACAACAGGGCACTCAAGAAGAAGAAGAAGAAGAAAAAGAACCGAATGTCGACCATGCAGAGCCTGATGAGCTAAAGGATATGAGTAAACAGAAGAAAAAGTCGAAAAGAAATGAAAAAGAAAGAGAACAGCAACAAGATGAGCAGGAGCAAGAAGAACACCCTGAAGAAACCGAAAAGCAGCAAGTTGATTGTGATCAAGAAGGACGAGAACAAGACCATAAGGATCCTAAACTCGAGCAAATTGGACAAGAAAAACCAAAAGGAGACGATGAAGATCTTAAGAAAGTCGAAGTGGATTATGAACAACCAAAAGAAACCATGAAGAACCTATGAAAGACCAACTGCAGCTAGGAAAACCAAAAGGAGAACGTCAGGAACCTAAAAAAGAGCAACTGGAAACAGATAAACCAAAAGGAGAGCATGAAAAACCCAACCAAAAGCAACTTGAAGACGAGAAGTCAAAAGGAGCTTGTAGGGACTCCCAAAAGCAGGTTGATGATTCAACGGAAGATAAATCTTCACGAAAACAGCAGCTGATTATGGACGAAGGTACGTTTTGCCACCCTCCATTTTCGCCAAAATTCAAGTTTTGGAGGATTAATTTCTCCCTTATCAGGCTGGGTAGAGGAAATATTTCTTGATTACTCCAAAACTCTTGGTTATTTGTTTTAATGTTAACTAAAGTATCATGATAATGAGTTGCTTTGTTATTCAACAGGACAATACGAAGAAGATGATGCGGTGCTGGATACACGTCTGTGATTTCTAGCATTGACTCATCAAGTCCTTTTTAGTTCTAGTTATCGTTTTAGTAACAGAAAGGTTATATACCGCTATTTCATGAAAATGATGCATTTACTTAACCAAGAGCATCAGAGAATAACTCATATAAGGTATTACAGTGACTAGTGCGAGCCCGCAATGTTTGTTTTCATTTTTCGATCATCTCAGTTGTCGTAGATGAAATTGCAAAATACTCTTAAAAACTGTACTCAGCTACGCAGTAAACTGAGTGATTTCCCGCCAATGCCGCGGATTGCATGTTCTAGCGCCCGTGCTACAGTTGGCCGCGCATGCTAAAAGTAGCATCTTGTGCGGTCGTACGGTCGTACGACCAAATTTTTTGGGTTTGATGGGTTACTACTATTTTGTATAGTTATGGGGCTACGCTCTGCGAGCTCCGCTACAAGTACAAAAAGCTACAGGAGAAAGAAAATTAGTATGGTTTGCTAAATAGATAACTGTGAAAGCATGTTTACGGCCGTGTTGCGTTTCAAGTGTGGTCAGAAGTTTCCGCAACTGATTTTAATTCGATATTATTAGGTTTATTAGTACTTATAAACATGATTTAACTATTTACTCAGCATTCAGTGGCATATATTACTCATTATTTATTGACTTTAGTCCTAGCTTGTTATTAAGTAGGTGGCTTTATTGTTATTACAATGCTAAGCCACTAATTGTATTTACTCCACTGCACACATGTATCAAGTGCACAGGTCAGATAATGCATTTTCATCTGGCTCCTTTTTTTATTCACATTTGTTGTTAACCTACGATTTAAGTTTAAATTTTTTAGGAGCTTGCACAAAAATAGAAGAAACCCAAGTGAGAATGTAATAAAAGTGTGAAATGTTTCATGTTCTATTGTCAAGCCATTTAGTGCCTAATTAAAAAAAAAGTTAAAATTTTAGCTCTGACTTTTTTATCTTCTAATAATTGAACCATCCTGGAGCTCAATAGTGTAAATAGTATATTATAACTGGAAGATCACCTTTGATGCTGGAAATCAATTCAGTTGCTGCGGGATTGTTCAAAATAAGTTGAATCAGATTGTCAGTTAAGTGATCAACCAATGATACGGTACGTGAGCTCCAGAGAAAGGTTGAAATTCAAGAACAGAAATGGTCGGAGAAGTTGAATGTAAAGATTCCATCAACAAGCTTTCTTGTATCTCCATAATTTTGAATGAAGGTCATGCACTGTGGTCTCATAGAGTCAGTGACAATCCCCGGCTTAATATTATTTCTACCATCAGGATCCAGCTCTTCCTCACCCCGTGGAGAGTCAAACATTTTCCATTTCCCCGCTGAAAAAGTTATGATCTGGAATTATCCTTTTAGTTTTTTTGGTTATAGGGTTTAGTACTTACACTTGTCTCCTGGACATACTCTCTCCAATCAAATGACCAATTAAAAAACCACAAACGTCCAATACTCAAAAACAGATTCTGACGGTTTTCTGATGGAATAGGCAAGTCTGGACGCGAGATAGAACCAGTAGTCGGCAGACATCAGACATTTGGAAATCGACTCATCCGAGAGATACAGATTTCACCATCAGGGACCGGTCATTGTTTATCGCCTGGGTGGGAGCGAGGGGGTGGTAGGTCGGAGTATTTTGGCTATGTCACAATCTAATCCCCCCCCCATAAAGCTAAGGATGGGAGTGCCGAGTAACTTTTACTGAAACTTTCTGAAGAACACTTGTTACTATAAGTAAGTGAGGCCTACCCTTTTCCTTGTACTTGTGTTCTCTTGCTCTGTGACTGCATAGAGTCATTATTTTCAGCGCCTTTTTTTGACACGCATTTGTTTGCAACTGTCTCTTTTACATGACTTTTCATCGCTTACTGAGTAGTAAAGAACCATGATTAAAATGTGCTCGTTACAAAGTAATTCTAATCCCTTAAAATAAGTCGAATATCATACAAAAGATGCCTGTCTCAATGAATTAGTGAGATACTGCTTTCAGCTAAGTACTCGAAGCTCAGGCAATTGAAAGCAACAGCAGTACACAAGAATTTATTCTCTTGTACTAAAATGATTAGCTGGTTAGTTAGAAGAGCACACAAACCGATCACAGACACTTCCTAACAAGCACCGCAGGGAACAGGATAATACATGGAGACAGTTTCAGAGAAGCTATGACATTAACCAATGACATTCCCCTTCTGACATTGCGGGTGATGAGCTTTGTCCTGACAGTCGTGCTCTGAAAAATAAAATTGTAAAATGAATAAATGAGTTAACAAATAAAAAAAAATGCCTAAATTCTTCATTCAAACTGTAGCAAGCACAATATTGGTTTAAACTCTTTAGCGTGGAAACTAGCTGGTGAAGAAAAAGTCCTGAACTCAGTATAGCGATCAGGCTTTGCCCTGTTTCTGTGGTGCTTTTTCAAAAGTGTCTTCTCTTATAACTGCTCAAAGTTCTTCTTTACCGTTGTGGTTTTCCAATGTGTTGTTTTGAGAATTTTGTTGAAAGTGGGGCCATAGCGCCTCAACTTCTTTGTCATGATATTTAATTTATCAAATAAGTTAAGAATAATTTTATGGCCAGCACATTTTGATCTATGTAACGAGACACATAAAAGCAATATTATCTGTATGATAAAGACTTACAAGAGAGGAAAAAATACTTCGCACGAAGAAAAGGTGAAAGCAATAGCTTGATAGTAAGTTTGGTACAAACATTTACTCAGCAAAGGTAACTTGTAAAAGTCATATGTACATATACACATGTGTATACATATGTGTATATATACGTATAATATATATATATATATATATATATATATATAGATAGATATATTGTGGGAGGAAAAAGACAAATAAACTACAAGTTCATCCCTACAGGTCTGTTTCGTGGTCGCCCACTCATCAGGGGATTTAATGAGAATAATCTTTACCATCGCTTATATACAATATAATCTAATTTATTCAGCGCGAAATTTAACAGTTTAGTCGTTGCGTAGGAGGGCTTTGTTTATGTGGCGGCAGGAAGACACGAGTTCATTACGTTTGTTTAGTGTCGATAGTTCGGGTCGACAGATGATTAAGAATTTTTCTTTGAGGCAGAGATTACATCTTTTACTTGAGCTGTTGTACTGCGAGTGTGATGAGAGAATGTGCCAGGAAATAAAGTGCTCGATGACGTTGTCTTTGAGGGTCCAGATGTGCTTGCTAAGTTCGGTGGAAATTCTGTGTTTAGCGTGGCGGAATGATGCGGTGTAGTTTCTGTATCTTGTTTTGAAGTCGCTCTCTGCGAGTCCGTCATCAAAATCATTTTGATGATGACGATAGATCATAAGACGAGTTCCTTCTTCTTTATGACGTTTACACATTCAAAAACCCAGATTTTCCTTATGAAAGTTATGGAAAACTTTATTTTAATGCTATGGATGACAGTGAGTGTTTATCCGAGTTTCGTTTTTGTAAGAGTGAACTTCCCGTCCTTTCTGAGGCCCAACATCTTCCTAACTACTTCACATGTCACCGAGGAACAATATGCGATGGAATTGAAGGGTTGTGTATCGCACTTCGAAGGTTTGCGTACCCATGTAGACTCGGTGATTTAATTCCACGATTTGGCCGCCCAGTTCCAGAGCTAAGTATGATTTTCAGCCTTGTGGTGGACACAATTTATGAGTAACATTATCACAGAATAGCTCAGTGGAATCATACACTCCTGAACCCAGGAACACAAAACGTCCAGTGTCTGTAACATTAAGTCTTTAATCAAGTTTGTTTGAATTAAAAAGCCTGAACATGAAGCTGATATAACATGGAAAACCTAACAATAAAATAAAAGCAAGTGTACAAAACAAAATCAAGAAAAATATTCCTGAAATTGCTGGAAACTACATTCATCTTGCACAGTACAAAATCAGGCCATGACTTAGTTTTGTTTTTCTAGAAGTTTTATTATAATTGAGACTGCTGCTGCTGCATTAGCGTGAACATCTTCTGAGAATTTTGCATTTGTTCTTGTTGCTGTTTAGTTTGCTGCAGCATGACCTGCATCAGATCCTAATGTTGCTTTTTGGACTGCTCCTCCTTCTTACTTTCAGCCTCCAGTCGCTGCTTCTGTAGCTGCGTTTCTTCCATTTTCCTTTTCTTTTAAAGGCTACCGGATGTAGGTAAACACGCATTCAAACTTCCGCCCGCCGTCGTAGAAATCCGCCGTCCTCGGATCTTAAGGTCCCTAATAACAAGACATGCAACTGCGGACAAAAGAACGCATGCCCGCTCGACGGAAACTGCCTGCAACCATCAGTAATTTACCAAGCCACCGTTACACGCACAGACAACAACACGACAGTAACGTACATCGGACTTCGAGTATGAAACACCCTCATTGCAATAAGCGCCCCTATACCAATTAGCGGCACTATTCTGTTTCAGCGATAATACTGTTAGTGTACCCACGCATTCAGATCGAAGGTGGTTCATCCTCCTTTAATTGCTTATTTCAAACCTTACTATACAAAAAGAGTGGTCTTTGTCTCAGTCTCTCAACCATAATGTCCATGTGTGTGCACAGTTCCTTCAA